CCGTTTGTACAATACGATCCACGATGGCTTTGACCTTCACGGGGTCCGTCCGGATTCCTCGCTTCCCAATGAAGCATCCCAAAAAGAGTAATCCTTCCGTACCAAAGATGCATTTGTCAATATTGGCATATAAAGTATGCATCCTCATGCAACCGAGCACAGGTTGCAGGTGATCGTTGTGATTTTACACATCAGTCTCTCCATTTTTGGCTCGACTATGGCCGATTATATCGTCAAAGTATGTCTGTGCATACGCCCTATGGGGCCGAAACAACTGCGTCACCAAACAATTGAACATTGCAGGTGCGTTAGACATCCATTGGGGCATTACTGACCACTTCCAGAGCATACCGCTTGGAGTGCTGACCGCAGTTAGCGGGATATCACTAGCTCGCATGAGCAGTTGGTAATATCCATCGACTAAGTAGAAAACACTGCACATTGTACATCCCATCATATTGTTCTGAAGAAAATCCTTGCAGAAATCGGTGTTTGAGACGGGATAGTGGCTGCATTCAGCTTATTGTAAGCACCACTTCCCATTTGGCTTCCCCACACAAAAAGTGGGCGTAGAGTGAGGAGACTTACTCTCACGCACCATGCTATCCACGTGCTTTGCGCGAAAGAACTCGTCAATGAAGTCACATTGTTCTCGTGGCAGTGGCCACTGTCGCGTCACACAGTATTTGGTTCCTGGAACCAAGTCAATTTCATGACGTGCACCTCTGTCCGGAGGTAACCTCGTAGGAGGTTCTTTGGAGACAACATCTCCATATTCCTTCAACAAAGGAAAGTTTTAAGGACCCGATGGGTCTTTCAGGATCTGTGATCCACTGCGCGCATTCAGCGCCTTCTTGGCATCTTCAATATATGCTTTATCCAAAAGCGATGAGGAGTTCAACTCCTCCTCAGATCGTATAACGACCGCTTCGGCGATATTGCCTGCCTGTAAGGGACTGCCAAACTCGGCAAAGGACAACTCGTCCAGCTTTAGCAGAGCAATTACTGCGGGTATAGCTAAATGAGCCACCGATTCTTCAACATCCCCAGTCAAATCATTGACGAGTGTATATACCTGTTCGCTATCCTCACACTCACGATATTATCATCGCTGCTCATGATGCTCTCAGCATCCGACGCATCAGCTTCCGCAGGTGTACACACCTCAAGGCTAAAGACCAGTTCGTTTACTGACTGCACCCCACCCTCTTGGGTCAATGCCTCGTCATGAGGTGTTCGCACCTCGTTGTACTCAAAAACAACCGTCATTTGTTGACTTCTCCCGACCCTCTTGAGCCAGTACCTCGTCATGAGATGCTCGCACCTCGTTGTCCTTAAAGTCAACCGTCATTCTTGACTTAACCCGACCCTCTTGGGCCAGTACCTCGTCACTAGGTGCTTGCACCTCGTTATCCTCAAAGACAACATCCATTGATGACTTCACCTGACCCTCTTGGGTCAGTACCTCTCCTTTTGGGGCGCGCCCCCCTTTTTTTCTACACCACCCCCCCCCTTATGACTTCACCCCCCCCCCCCCCCCCCTCGGCCCTCCAGGGTCAGTTCCTCGTCACTCATATCACTTGGACTCATGTCCTGGCATCTTGGCTTGCAGCCACAAACATCACTCACGGTGTTAATAATGTAATATCATTCTCATGACACATGTCATATGTGCCATCTAGTGGGTTCTCAACCACACTATCAACAGTCATTGGGCCTCGCCCAGGACTATTGTCCTCGACACTTACAGTGTCTACAAAGCCGGATAACCCGACATCCAACATATTGACCGAATCGGTCCAATATCCGCGCCAAAAGCGCTTTTGCTTCCTAGCAAAGGTGGGTTCATGACTCTCCAGAGCCCCACCAGGAGCATTGCGCGTTGCGCCTAAGGTCTTTGGGGTGGAGCGGTGATCACAAAAAAACTCTCTGTGGTCCCGACCTTTTACTGGCGACTGAACTTTCAACTGATGGAGGGGTACTTTGATGCCGTAATATAGTCCTTCCTCACCTTGTGTACCCGTCGACTGGGCGGGTTGCACTCCTCGGTGGTCTTGCTACGATCTTGATAGGGATGGGGTCTGGATCGAAGGTAGTGGATCGCGTGAAAATTCCTCCTGCGGCCGCAGTAAACACTGGCGCGAAAGCTGCCTTCATCCACCCTGGATCTTCCATTTCCCTCTCTTGTTTGTCCTCTTGAGCCGTCTAGTATATCTTCTGACCACTTCAAGTCGTCTCGTAGAGGCCCCTTGCTTGAACGCTGCGTCCGATCGCAGTTGACATGATTTGAGTGTACTTGAAATCCTGGCCAAAAACCTTCCAGGGGTGATCTGGTGTACGTACGTGAGCTCCCTTTATTCAACGGGTAGCCAAATATCCAACCCGGAAGACATAAGAACACGCATATGATCAGATGTTACCTATGTATTAGTCACTAACCAATAGCCTATACCAATTACTAGACTAAGGTACAAACACTACCCATGACTAACCTAGCAAATTCAATACTACCATATGTCCAATAATTCCAAAAACTATCATCTTACCTACTTGTATGAAAGGACCCACCGCCACACGTCGCTTCAATCTTGATTGCGATCCGGGGTATGTGGTCTACACCTTGCGATCCGATCCGCTGACGACTTGATATGCGATCGCTACCCCGAGTATACGATCCACACCACGCGATCTGATCTGTAAACGACTTGATCGGCTGGGCACGATCAAGATCCGTACTGTGAATTCCACACCGTGAGGTCTCTTTATTGACCAATCACGTGCGATTAGGACAGACCACAATCATTGAACCGCCTAATCGCCCGCAAATAACCTGTTTCCATCTTCGACCTCCAATCAATCCATGTCTTATGGGACTCTAGCCATGCCATGCCTAGGATGAGGCCATACTTCGCATATAGGTCTAAGACCAAACAGCGTTCCATGCTGTTAAAAGTCCAAGAACTTTACATTTAAGTCCATCGGGACTTGGGCACCGTAACACGCGTACCGTCGCTAAACAAATCGTGACTGTGTTACCTTTACGTGCTCTAAGAGTTTCGCATATCGCTGACTACCTTCCACGGTGGTACGGCGAGCATAGTTGCCGGAAGTCCTTGAAATTGATCAAAATGGTTTATGGCTTATCAAATCCCTTGACCTTTCCTTGACGGCCAGCAAGCCTGCTTGCAATCTCGTTCCATTTTTGAAAGTTCAAGTCTCTGTGGGGCTGAGCCCTGTTTACTTCTACCTCCTAGAGGTTCAACAAAGCTAAGTTTTTCACAGGTAGGGGGCGTCCCGCGTCTACTGGGCTCCGCCGTTTCCTTGCTATAAAGCTCTAGCACGTGCGCTATTCAGAGCAGGTTTGAAACTGATTTATCTAATGTTTATCATCTAGCATTAAATATAGAAGCACCTTATCTATACTTAGTGCTAGTCACTATTATCTGGCTCTGTAGCCTATAGATATGTAAACATGTATAGTCAGTATACTTAATTTTGTAGTGTGATCACGTGGCTCTCTGCCACGAGGTGATCCTTCGTACCTTAGGTACGGTCATATTAACCTACTATTGTACCCAAGATACAGCCACATCGCACGTGCGTATGTACAGTACCCACCTTTGTGTAAACCCATTACAGTAAATTTGCTACAAAAATTGTTGAATCACCAGTACATAAAGAACGTTGCTGAGACTTAAGACAGGCGACTATTAGAGAGAATCAGGAGACGAAACAAGATCAGGTTTGCGTTACATACGGAAGCGCTTTTTTCCTTAGAAGAATAAACTTGCTGGTTTTGATCTTAGTGTCTTGTGACATACAATGCTCTCCTTTTTGTTACGTAAAAGTGCTCGTCGCCTTTTTTTCGCAATGCAATGAATAATACTTGCTGAACATGTGGGTTGCTTTTGCATTGTTATATTTTTAGTTCCAGCTATCATTTGCTAGTATTGATTGCGCAAGTTACTGATCAAAACACACCACTAGATTACTAATAGAAGCAATTCGCATCGCAAATATTTACGATTAGTTTGCGAATCATGGTATCCGTTAGCTCTCTAATTTACCCACTAGCAGTGGCAAAGAATGTATTCTGTAACGTGGTCAATCGATCAGCGTTATGCAATCCAAAGCCTTTTTTGATCTAATTGAAAAGTTCCTGTGATGACAGTCACTGTCAATGGCGCAGACAGTAAGAACGACAAGTTTGTTAGCGATGTAATCACGGAAATATTACATCGCCTGTGCCGTTCTATCTTTTGCATGAAGTGGAACATTACTTGTGCTATTATATGCTCAGCGCCTTGTTACCTATTGGTAACGCATTTCTTGTGCTGGCGCTGCTCTTCTGGATAAGTGTGCGGCTGGTTCTACAAGTAAGCGAAACGGCGGTATGTAAATGTGCTAGCGGGACCTGATAGCACCTGAATAGACGAAGACTAGAATGGGATGGTCGCAACAAAGCCAATGTAAAAATGCTGTGGTGCTAAATATTGCTCAATCTACTTGGTGCATTTTAGGCTTTGCCTCCGTAACGTCGTTGAAAAATAGTCAGAAAAGCAACAGAACGATACTGCCTGCTCCATTTGAGCGATTGTCGTTCTAATCGGTTTTGCTTTCTCTCGTGCTTGCAAGCTTCACGACAAAAAATCTGGATATGTAGTGGTGGCATCCATATACCGACGCAATCGCCAGTTGGACGTCTACGCTGCGTAGAGCCTTTCAATGTTCGAATTGCTAGACGGCCTTGCTTCTTCACTGTATCCTGCTTGTCAAGGCCGTCTTTTGACCGAGCGCATGTGTACAACTTGCCAGCAAAACGCAGCCGGCTGACAAAACCTTTTCCGGTATATATGCCTGTCCATTTTGACGGTAGATTCTACATGTCCAATTGTATCGTTTATCCCAGAAATATAGTGGAAAAAACCTTCGCATTGAGTATTGATGACTCGTTGCTATCACTTTCTCTCTGTGGTAATAACAACTTGGCCACTTGAATAATGAAATCTGGTGATGGCACTACTGAATCCACACGTCTTCTAGGTCACAGTTCGCGTCAGTTAAAATGGTATCGATGCATTTTGCAGACATTTCTCAAGCATTTCTACGTGTTGCTCGTTTTCCACCTGTTGAATGCTGCCACGGCACTTATTGGTGTCTTTGCAACTCTTTGTATGCTTATTAGCGTGATTCTAATGCCTGTACGAGTTGGCATGGTATTGGCCAAGCGAGGAATGATGTGGATGTGGACAAACGTGAGTGCGCGTCTTTCCAATGCTAACTTGCATGTGATTCTCGTAATCGGACTCATTGGAAGTTTCGTGCTTGCATATTGGAATTTCGTGGTTCTCTTGTGTCTCTTTGTCCCTGGAATCCTGAATAAGTGTGGAGTGAGCTTATTCAACCTTTCAATTGCTTTCGTTCATTGCTTAGTGAGAGTTGATGTCGATCTCGTTTGCTTTGTGGATCCTGCGATTGTAATTAACGAACTAGTAGAAATAAACGATCTCCAGCTTGACCCACGCAACAATAGTATTTGGTTCAGCAACTGGGATTCTATGGTGCCTCATCTCAAGATGACGAAAAAGGAGTGGGCAGTTGCTTTCTATTTTGCGTTCATCAAACCTTTGATAGGTATGGTAAGTGCTATTGTCGTCACGTTTACTGTTATTCAACCCATAATTGCGCTCCTCAGCTGTGGCAAAGCTACCAATTTTCCAAGCCAAGCTACATTATCTGAAGAACCCATGGAGTACTTATTGCTTATCTTACTCTTCTGGATAGCTGGGGCAGTCGAACTGTTTATCAGTACGTCAATTTTTATAGCGGTGATGCATCACTTTGTCGAGTATTCGGAATGCATTGCTTAACTAAAGACGGTGTCCAGAACGCATGGCATTTTCTTTCACTTTTAATTCTACCATTCCTAGAAATCATCTAGTCGATCAAATATCGACTTTATCATGCCAAACCCGAAAACTTAGGGAGATAAGAATCGAGAATGCATTCGTATATTTTCTACTGACGTTCATTGTTGTAGATGTCCGACACCATCCAGGGTACCCTGCTCTAAGAAACGCGTTGATACCAATTCTCTCAATCCACACACAAGATCTAAAACCCTAAAGCTTTATCAATGCGATACGTTTACCGAATAATCGGTCCATTATGACGAGCAAAATAATTCATTGTTTTGTCAATTGTCTGATCACATCATACCTAGACCCTGATAACAAACAACACATTGAAGAGACAACACTGTATGCCACATTATTTGTACATACAAGTGTATCAATCTTTCCAACGTATTAATCTTATTGTCTCTATCTCGTTTGACTTTGTACTTCCTGCCAACGAATCAATCAACTGGAGAGATCCAATCGAAAATCTCCCCGTTCAACCTCAACGGAGCTCCCCGACCCTAGTGAGTCAGTAGCCAGTCAATTAATCAGTCAGCCAGTTGTCATGCCTGAGACGTCGTCGCCCCCTACCACCCAATCGGATGAGACAATACCGTCACCAAGTATCGTAGGTAATACTTTTATGCGTCAGTATTACCACTTTCTAGCCAAGGAACCGCAGAGTTTGCATCGGTTTTATAAGGCTGAGAGTCGATGGTGTCATGGCTTTGGTTCGCATATGGAAGAACCTATTGCTGGTCAACGAGCCATTAATGATCAGATCTTAAAGCGCGGATATGCAGGTGCTCGCGTGGATTTGGATGCTGGCTCGATTGATTGTCAGAATTCACTTGGTGACGGTGTGCTTGTACTGGTTACGGGTGTTATGACGCTACGTAGTAGTCCTGAACCAAAGCCATTTGTGCAGACGTTTTTCTTGGCTGTGCAGCCGAAAGGATATTTTGTATTGAATGATTGTTTACGCTTTTTAGAGCTGTCAGAAGTATCCAATGAAGATATGGACAAGGAGAAGAAGAGCTTTGTATCGGAAAAGAACGCAAAGGATGAGAGACAGACACCTTCTTTATCTCCAATAAAGAAGATGCACATGGAGGAACAGGAGGAAGTAGATGGTTCTGTGTCATCTGAAAAAGCGGCGTCGCCTGTCAAGACCAAGACCACGACAACTACGTCTACGATTAACATGAAAGTAAGGAAAGAGGACACGCCTTTGTCCCCCATGAAGACTACTACTGCGGTTGCATCGTCTCCTATGAAGAAAACGATGGCGACAACAATGACAACGACGGAAGAAGAGGAGGCTCCTGCAGTCATCGCAAAGACGCCGTCGCCCGCCAAAAAGCTGGACGAGACGCCATCTGCTGCTGCATCTGCTTCTTTTGTTGCACCGGCTGACCCCGTGGTGGCACCCCCTGCGGAACCTGTGAAGCCCAAGACATGGGCTGCACTGTTCTCGGTCTCGAAACCTGCTACGATCGTTACACCCGACGCTGCTACTGCGTCTCCAGCTACGACCCCTAGCACTGCTGCCACTCTGGCTTCAAGTCCTGCCCCTGCTGTGATTTCTCCTACGTCTGGTGCTCCGGCGCCGGAGAAGTCACCGAAGAACAACAAGTTGAGTAATGGCAACGAGAAAGAGAAAGAGCATAAGCGATTTTATAGTTTGTTTATTCGCGACCTGCCGCCTCAGACTCGTGAGAACGACCTGCATGAGCTATTTAAGGGATACGGCTCGATCGCTAGTGTAAACCTGGTTCTTCAGCGTAACTTTGCTTTCGTGGACTACTATGAGCAGGAGAGCATGCGTGCTGCTCTTGCTGAGACGAAGGAATTTAAGGTGTTGAACAAGGTGCTGCAAGTGACGGAGCGTGGCGACCGCAAGGAAGGGCAACGCAGTGGCTTCCGAAACAACGACCCGCGCGGTCGTGGTCGTGGTTACGGTCCCAAGAGTGGTCGCGGTGATCGCGGTGATCGCAAGGAGCGTAATGGGAACGACGCTCCTCCGTCCAACAAGGGCGAAAGACGTGATGGCTTTCGACGCGAGAAAACTAGCAACCGCCGTGGTGGAAAGGTGGACGGCACGTCGCGAGCGGAGTAAAATGGTTTAGTATTTGGAGCAGCTGGGCTGTCGACTTGGCGGACATTATTGGTGAAGCAAGACTAGAGTGGACGCTACTAGCATAGGTTGTGATCAGGGGACGAGGGCAGTGAGGGGTACACACAAAAGGAGAGCTTTTGACGCCAGCCGCTTGCTGCCATATGCTGACGTTTTCTCTCTTTTCGTGCTTACCAAACACACGCACATGCAGGAAGACACAGCCACAAAGAGTAGGACAAATTTGCGAGAAGAGGTACAAGCTGAGAAGCAAGATTTTGTCAGCACGATAGGGTAGAGCAGCAAGCAGAGAGATTGGCAACAGAAATGACAACCATTATCCGCTGTAAAACTGCAGTATCGGCATTGAAATGGTATCTCTACTTCTTACTTGATCACCCTGATCAACTTGAAATCAAAACATGCCACGTGGCATCATGTCTACTCGGCAGTGCGCTGGACATGCGATAAAATAGCATCGAGAATCTATCCAATCCATTGGGTGTTTGGTTTGGACATCTGTCGGTCTTTGTACTATATGCCCTCTTTGTACAGAGCGCCCTGGTCACCCGTGTACATTCATGTCTGTCGACACTTCAAGTGCACACAACAAAGCAACTAATGGTGTCAGGATGGGTAGCTTATTGCACCACCTGAGCCTCCTTCAGCACGCGAAGTGCTTTCTTCGTGTCGCCCTTTTTCAACAGCACATAAACTAATAGCTCAAGCGACTCACGACAATTTGGGTTTTCCCGCACCGCACGCGTTACGCTTTCCTCTGCTTCCGGGTTGCGTCCCTGTAGCAGAAGTGTAGTTGCGGTGTTCACATGAACACCAGCTCGGGCTCGTGACAACTGCATTGCAAAACGAAACAGTATCGTGATTAGATCTTTCAGCATGCACATAACTCCAGCCTATACATCATCTTACCTGAAGCTTGGCTTCACGTGCATACTCTTCGGCCATATCAATCAAATCTCGCTCAGACTGCAATACCTTGGTTGCTTCAGATGCTCGAGACAGCATGCATAGAGCCTCCGCAGTATATGACCGCGCTAAAAAGCAATTTGCCTTGGAGCAGGTCGGCAAAGCTAACAACTCCTTGGCGCTTGTGATTGCAAGCTGGGGCTCGTACATCGACAGATAGACATATGACAAGTTGATGAGAGCCTTCTGACGCAACACATCAAGAGCCTTTGTGTCAAGGGCTTCGCTATCGGCTCCATTAGGAATGACTGCTGCAGTGCCAACATTTCCGTTCACGTTTCTAAAATCCAACAGTTGGTTGCAGAGCAATATTACGTTCTTGAAGCACTTTGCACCGAAGGGAAGACTCATTGTCGGCGAACCATCCTCATCATCAGCATCTGGAGATGCCGCACGATTACCATTATCAATGCAGTTTTTCTCAGGAAGCTGAATGTTTTGCGATGCCGCAGATGGCAGGCTGGTGGGAAGCAGAACACGTCGGTGTGAGCCAGTGCCCACAATTCCCTGAATCAAACCACTTTTGTTTCCGGCGATGACAGCGAGCTTCTGCTCCTTCGCAAATGCCGCAGTACAGCATTCTCCAAGGCGGAGCCACAGCTTGGGACGATTAAAGAACAGCCGCGACGACTCGTGGAAGCACCGGAACGCCAGTGCGTATTCCCCTTGCAGCAACAGATGCAGTCCATTATTATACATGATTTCATGGTGGGAAGAACTTGAAATGACAACCGCGTCCATCTTCGTGTCCTTTGTCGTAGCTTGCAGTGCTCTTGCAAAGTAAGATTGTGCCGCCTTTCGGTACCCCATTTGAAAGTGGATGCAGCCCATATTATTCAACACAACACTCTGCAACCATTCACAAAAATTTACAGCACGTCATATCTACTCTTCACTCATACCGTCAAATCAACCAGACGTACCGCACTCACAGCCTCCTGCGTACACGATGCAAGAAGCTTGATACATTTCTTGTAGTTCTTCTTTAAATATTCCAGGTTTGCCTTCAAAAACAGCGCCGTGGAGTTCTGTACCGCAAGGCACGGGTGTCCAATAGCCGCACTCGTTTTTTCTGATTCCATACCAAGCGTAGATGACGATGTTGCAGCTGCATTTCCCCTATCATGTGTCTTGATCTCCTTTTGAAGGATTTCCAGCGCAGACTTAACCTCCTTCTTCGCTGTCTTTAGGTTACTCTGTAGCAACATAAACTTGGCACGATACAGATGCAGTCGAAAACGAAACTCTGTCACATCCCACCGACTCTTCTTTTGTGCCTCTGTCTCCATTACATTGCCATCGGCGTCACGCTGCACCAAATTATCTGGTGGTTCATGTACTGTATTAAACCGATGTGGTTTTTCTAAAAACGCCAAAATGTTCTGCGCTTTCTTAATCGTCTTCATACGTTCCATCTCTGTGGTCACGCAACCTCTGCTACTGTGCAAGATGACGTCTAAATACAAGAAACTAGCGTGCATCGCCACATTTTCATCGATAGGGTCTATATTGCGCATCATCGCTTCTAACACTGAGCTGGCCTGTGCGTACTGCTTCAACAAGAATAAAGCAGCTGCATAGTTGTACCGGAGGTAGGCCATCTCCCGTTCAATAGAAAAGGATCCGCTGTTCATCGCTACGGCAGTACCACCATTTTCACCATTCACAGCGTCTCCTGCACCAACTGAAACAAATTTAGTGTTTTTCTCGTACTCCTGCAGCTGCGTCCGGAGATTTTGCTTCAATGCAAGCTGCAATTTTTCAGGTGTGTCCAAACCTGCAGCGAACCGAGCGAGGGCTACATTGTGACGAACTTTAAAGTCCTGACGAGGATCAATTTCTTCCACAAGCTTCTCAAGTGCGTCCACAGCTTCTTCATACTTGCCACCACTGAAAGTGAATACAAAAAAAACAATCCAAGCATCATAACAATGATAGTCAATATCATGTTGTTAACCATGCAGCAGCAACAATAACAACAACAAAGCAACAGTACTAGTGACAAGACAAGACAAGACTCACTTGAACTTCTGTTGGGCACGATGACTTAGCGATGATTTGTTATCCTCTGTACGAATATCACCTGACATTACTATCTAGTAGCTTTACTATCACTTAGTCTGACGTAGAAATCCTTGTTTAGTATCAATAACGTCGAGCTTTGCAATCCAGTAGCCACACAAAAGAGAGTTCCAGTCGTCTACAATTTCAACTCGTCTAAGGATGCACTTTGTCAAGATTACTATGTTTGTTTGTATACTAATGCGACAAGAAGTTTGAGCAAAGAGATAAGAAGAAGGAGAATGGACTGACTGACTGATTGAGCCAAAGGATCGATATTTTTTTTCTTCTTTTGCTGTGGTCGGATATTCCAAGAGGAGGAGGAGGGGGACTAGAGAATTAGACGATGAATTAGTGAATTAGCCAATCAGATTTTAGTAACGTGTGACTTTTGTAAAACGTTGGCTAGAACGGGATTGCCAAAAGGTGTGTACTGCTATTTTTGGGTGACAAAATTACAATTATAGACAGTAAACAACTTTTACTGAATGATTGAGTGAGTGAGTGAATGATGGAATGTTCACTTATGCAAACACATTTTGCCGTTCCTCGTCAATGGCCGAATCTTCATCTATAGCTTCCAATGCGCTAAAGTTCATAAAATGCGTCTTGCGATGAATCTCGTGGTAAAATTCCTTCGGGTTGCCCAGCTTTAGATCGTACTTCATCCCCGTGTTGTGTTTCACTCCCATAAAATTGTAGTTCCACACCTCTTCTTCCGGAACCATGTAGAAACCCATGAACCGATCGGACAAGAGCATCTGCACCTTTTCATAGTGAGTTGGAGTAAAACCTGCCGAATTCGCAACGCTGTCCTTGTTCTGGCGACCCCATTCGTAGCCAGCCGGGGTCAACTTGTACGCTGTTAGGGAGCACGAGCCCGGGGTGAAGCTGCAAGTGATGATAATACTCTTCTCGCCATCCCATGACGTGTTTTCCGACATAATCTTCGAGTGGAAAATTACATCCTGCGGCGGTAAGCTCGGCAACTCGTTAGGCTGCGTGTGGATCCAGCCAAGAGCTTCCATACCCTCCAAGTACTCGTGATCCGGCATGTGCAGCGGGATGGTCACGCTCTGGTGTGTGCCAAGCTGCGGCGGCATCACAATACAGCGAATCTCCTTCACCTGCGGATTGTCAGGCGGACTAACACCATACATGAGACCGCAGATCTGCGTCCGCAGGTCCGACACGGTGATAAACTTATTCAGCACGTTCTTCGGCAGCACATACGTAAATCCGGTATCCTTGATGTCATCTGAGGACACGTAAATATGGTTCGTACGCAAGTGTAGGTTTGTCGCCGAGATGGCACGTACGCGCCAATCCGTCTTTGAAGCAAATGAGTGCTGCTCATATTGGCTTGTCGTCGTAACCACCATTTCATCACCATGCTTATTCACTGTCTTTGTCGTTACCGACGTAAGCTGACTCTGCTCTCGCGCCTGTTGCTCAATTTCAGCGACCTGCTGCCGCTGCAGAGACGGCGCCGAAATCTCCATACCCAGAATAATATCACGAATCTCCGATTGAGTCAGTGAAGCTACATTCACGTTGTTCTTTTTGCCATAGTCGCCCAAAATCAAATCCTTTAACTGCACCTCGATCTTCAGCCACTGTTCATCTGTTAGTGACGGCCAGATGTGATGAGGTTGCGTTATTGTTTCACCGTCGGGACGCAGGATAATCTTCGTACGATCGTTGCTCACATGCAATGCGCGCAAAATCAAGATCAAGCGAGAGAAAGCCGTGTACGACGTGATGGTGTTCAGCCAATCGTCGTAAATATTGAACAATATCATTTGTGGCTCTGTTGCCTTCAAAATCAAGTCACCGAACTTCTCAACTTTCAAACATGCCTGGAAGGGCAGTTGCAGCTCACTGCCCTTGATGACAATGTTCGGAAAGTCTAATAGATGCACTTCAAGAGGATCCAGCATACCCTTGCGCGTAACAATAATCTGTTTCGGCTGTTCTTCAACAGGCAACGATCGTATCAAGGCCGCTACTTCTTCAGCAGTCTTCCACTTCGCCAGTTGACCCAATCGCTTTTGACCTGCCCACACTGATGTGTGAATAATCTTTAGGAATAATTGACCCGTGCGTGGATTAAAGATAAAAATGGCACCATTAATGGGCTTTGTCGTCAAGTTGCCCTCAAACGTCTTGTGGATCGTTACTCGGTACACATTGGTGTCATCAACAAACCAGATAATTTGATTTGAGAAAAGCTCGCCGTAGTTCTGACTTGATAAATATGGTTCCGTCGGTTCAGAAGAATAGAGTTGCAAGCCCTTACGAATACGCTCGCGCAGCACATACAAAGCCGGGTTCGCCTTCATAATTTTGGCCATGGCTTGCTGCATGAGCGGCTTACAGCCAGGAAACCAATTTCCATACCCACTGTACAGGTTGTATGCTAAATCCACAGCAAGCAATACACCTGTGGGCGATGGATAAATGGTCATGTTATCCGTCGTGTAGTCCAAGAACTTGGCACGCGCATATCGCTCAATATCGTGAGAGTCAAAGTCACCCCACCGAAGCTGCACATCAATCCAATACTTCGAGCTTGTCGAGCCATCGTAACTGTCCTTCGTGTCATGCAATAGTGTTGGTCGGCCCATCTGCCACTTGTACGCAGCGAAAAGAAGAACATCCGCACAAGATGAATTCATCTTGTAGGACTTACGCGGGTGAATCGTTTCTTTCTGTACACTCTCAATCTCCAGCGCATCGAGCTCCTGGTCAAACACTACAATTATCAATAAGCACAGCAGACACAAAAATTAGTACTACACGGCATCGAGCAGCTTTTCGGACGACCGTATTGCTTATCGCACCTTGGACTGTGGAACATACGTACAACAGAACGATAAGTTAGTATCCTGATGGCTAAGTCAAACATATGTCATCACAGCTAATCACGAACCTAAATCCATAACCAAAGATTCGTGTATCTTCTGCCACAAATGTGCGCGGAAAATCTGGATCAGAGAGATCTTCAAAGTCGGGATCTTGCCGTGCATAAATATACCAGTCAAATCCAGTTGCACTTGGAAGCCTACATACACATTGGCACGGTTGATCGTAGGAGACCACCACAGCGTGAATCGACGGTTCGGAATCTGGTTCAAACCCGATCGCTGCGCGTTTGTCAACTTCTTGTACTTCATACTCTCTTCAAATCCAGAAGCCTTCTCCCAAAAAAGACCTTCCCATGTGGGGAAGTATGTACCTTTGAATAATGTGTGCTCAAGAATACCTTCCACACCACCAAGCGCCTGAATCATGTCCGTTCGATAATTGTTTAAGTTCCACAGTTTACCGTCGTGTCGTTGGTGGGTCCACCAAAATGGGTTCTGACGCGTTATCTGATAGCATTTAAAGCCCGTCCGCACACGCCAACCCTTGTCGTATGCCAACGTGTGGCGGTCTTTTTGGAAAAGAGTGTTGATGCGAGGAATACCACGATCCCAAGAGTCTTCTAAATCCTCCAACGTCAAGCGACGGTTCTGAGCATTGGCTTCCTGCCGTTTTAAAGCATACTCAGCCCAAACACGCTGCGAGTCTATGAACTCGGACTCCCAAGGCTGCAAGTAGCGGAACAAGTTCGGAATCAGCTGGTCGTCTTCATGGGACATACCTGAGCGGAAGTGCGTCACACCACCGCCGTCGGTTTGCTTCGAGTAGCGCAGATCAGATTGAGGGATTAGAACGTGACCCATCGATAACATGCCCAGACCTCCCAGCTCCTTGGGCGTGTAAAACACCACAGGCGGAAACCGGGATGGCATCTTTGAGTTCAGTCCAATCTTGATACGTGTCTGGATTTTGTTTTCACATTTGACCAAGAGATCCAGCAATTCCTGTGTTTGCACGACAGATTCGCGGTAATACGTCATCAGTCCAATCAGGGCTGAATTCCACTTGTTTGCAACCTTAGTAAATGTTGTGCTGCCAGAAGACATCAAAATTTGGCGAACGCGGTTCTCAAAGGAGTGAAACGACTCGTCGTCCACGCGAAGGTATGCCTGAGCTGTGCGCTCCTTGGTGGTCTCATTTTGCAAAATCCACACTCCATCCTTGTGGGTGAACTCTGCGTCAACTGCACGTATCTTGGGCAAAATGCGCACTTCAAATCCGCACATGTTGAACAGCAGATTCGGGTTATCCTTCGAGTACACTGACACAAAACTGTTATCCCAATCAAATGTAGTCATTGAGCGCGGCAAACGGTTCTTCATGTCCCAGAACGTTGCTCTTCCAAGGTTCACATCATGCTTCATCAGTCTCATGCGCGCATCACGGGGCCAACACTTCTTATTGTTGTATCCGACCACATTTTCGTTGTTCGGATCCGGGTGCTCTGTTAAGTATCGCTGGATCAAGTCGCGAGAATCGTCAGCATCAAACCGGAACAGCACATAAATCTTGTCAATGTAGCGCGTGTACAAACGAATCGGGTGCCGGGTCTCCGAGGCAGTGTCCTTGAACGACAGATACTCATTCGGAAGCTCAGGAGGACCAGCGATCTCTGTCGCGCGAGTAAGGCCAAGCAACAGCAAGTCCAAAATCAGACCGTAGTACTGGAAGATAAACGAACCGAACTGCAATCCTCGAATGAGACCGTATGAGTTCGTGTGCATCATGTCCTTGTACGCAATAACAATATTGTTCTTCGCAGTCATGTAGTCCGCGATGTTGTGATCCAAAATTAGTCGCAGTAGTCGATTCAAAAGAGTCAAGTCGATCTTTTCGTATACCTTTTCCAGCTTCGACTCAAGCATTACCACGCATTCCTCCTCAGACGTATCCCACACACTGTGCAAGTTGTTAACTCCTTGGCACCACTTGTAAACAAGAAGCGGTGGTGGTTCAGAGTCGCTGGGCTTAATCCAACAAGGAAACAGGTGGCGCTTGTCAGCCTCATACCACAAATACTGATCAAGATACGCGTCAGTGATCTTCTCTAACGGTTCAATGTCATTCACTGGTATCAAATGACTGTACAGATCCATAAACTCGATGTGGACTTCCTTGAAAGCACGCTGGGTAAGTAAGTGTCTCTTAATACGGGACAACGCTTCGTGGGGATTGTCATAGGCCTGTTCAATCAGACCAAGCTCTTCACGCTGCGTCTGGTTCAAGCGATTGTTAACAGAATAATTCTCCTTCAGTCGTTCCAACGCAAGAATGAGGAGCTTGGTATCGTGTTTGTATGATAGTGGCGGGAACGGAATCGGGGCAAACTTCCGACTTTCTAGCCAGTGCACGGTGGTCGTGTACACGGCGACGGCTTCCTCAGCGGACACATAAGGACCATCCTTAAGATAATTGTGTTGACGCTCTTGTTCTGCTTTAAGCCACAATCGCGTTAGACGACCCAAGTTCTTCTTGCAGACAGTTTTGTCAACTGTAGCACCGCGCTTAATACGCTCACGGTTGTAGTGCGCCACATTGGTCCACCAGTCTGCCTTGGACTTCACATATCGCAAAATCATGTTCTCAATGGGAGCAGGCAAGCCCGGCACTTTCCATGGAATGTTAGCCTTCCAGCTGTTCACACATAACAATGCACAACATTAGAAAATCAAAGCAGCATACGATCGTGAATAGTAAATATACGTACCAGCGCCAAGCTTCACTAAGATGCGCCATAATCGTTCGCGACTTGTTCACCTTAACACCTTCAGGCATCATATCCAGAATATCGTGCATCACGGCTGCACGCAGCTCCAAGTCGAAGTGGCTTTCCACACGCTGCTTCGTCACAGTCTTTGCTATGCCCTTCGAGTGACGACCTTCAAACTGACGCGCTAGCAGGTTTCCAAGCCATCGCTCAAGCAACGGAACAATGCCTCGGAGAAAGAATAGCCACACACGCCAACCTGGTGCCCAAAAACCACATCCAGGTCCCTTTCCAACCGGTCCAGTGTTGAAACGGTAATAGATCAAGTGCTTCAAATCCTTACACATGCGAACCTGACGCATCAGGCGGTACTTGTATCGGTACATACCCGTCAGCTGACCAACGTGTGCAAAAATATACTGCAGACCATCAGCAAGCTGGAATGCATCGACGTTGCCCAATCGATACTGGACGTGTGCATCCACAATCAGCTTCGTTAAGCGCAGAATTTCTCGAGTCAAGTGAAAAGCATTACCAAAACGTGACTTTTTACGCTCCTTTGTTGTTAGCGTCTTGATAGGCTTCAAATTAAAATTGTAATCCAAGTGAAGGTAGTTCAGATTCTTACGATGAATCAGCAAATTTAACATATTGTACCCCTGACGGCACACTTGTAGACCAGCTTCAACCCAATCCAATTCGGTACTTTGGAAAAACTTTGTGGACTTCAGTGACTTGAACAGGTATCGCTTGTTCAATGCCTTTGGAGGGCGGTGATGCAAAGAATTCAGTACCCAGCACTTCAGCAACTTCTGGTAGCTAACACGAACCTTTACAGGCTGTCCTTGCGGGCAGTGTTCCTGGAACCACTTGTTCACGAGAGGAACATCGATAGCACGACGTGTACGGCCCGTGCGCAGATTGAACGGCCGTGGTGCCCAGTAGAGAGCAATACCATTGGCCGTTTCTGAGGTATACAGCGGTTCATCCGTCAACAGTGGATCAAATCCCATAGGCAACCGGAACTCGTCGTCTTCATCGTCTTCTGCTTCTTTTTCGAGACTATTATCCTTTCCAGAGCGGTTTACTCGAAAGTGAGAGATCGGATTTACAATCGGGTCAAAGTAAAACGCAGGCAAATCCGGGTCCTCTGCTTTGATGTAACATAGCACAGGTGTGTGGTACGGCTGGATGTGCACGGATCGTGGTCGACTATTATACAAAAATGGGAACGCTACCTTGTATTCCGTCCGGATCTGGTGGCGAATAATAATCTTGTTAATGTCGTTAAACTCGTTCCAGTCCTCGTCATCCTCGTCCAGATCACGATACAGTGGCTCAAACTTCGGACCACCAGGGATCGCAACATTCAATGCCTTGGCTGTAAAAAACGACTTTTTATCAAAAAGATACTCGTAATTTGGATCCACCAAGTCGCTAATCAATTGGCCCGCAAGACGATGCAAGTTGGCCATAATAGGCACAGGTAGTCGCCATTTACGATAGCTCGGTCCATTGACAAACTTTGAGTCAATCAACGGCTTTGAGTCATAAAACCATTCAATCACTGCTTCATCGTCTTCCTCGTCCAATTCCATCATAATGCTCTCAGAAGGTTCAATATCAAGGATATTGTCACCATAATCCAGTGGTGGTTCTTCATCATCAAAAGGAGGAAAACGCATTCGTTTAAAATGACGACGATCTCGTTTTTCACGACGCATCATGATCCACATGGTACCCCATTGAGCAATATAAACTGGTTCAATAACCCATGGCACTTCATTCACAAATGTAATTGCACCCGTGACATGATACAAAACCTTGACGTCTTTTACTTGTTCCCAAGGCATTGGCATATTCTCTAATAGCTTAAATATCGCATGTGGTACATACTTTAGAGCTCCCAAGTACACGCGCTTATCATGACGAAATTTCTTGCTACTCATATCCCCGTGATCTTTAATGATCTTACGTACATGCTCAGGTGGCATATCGTCTTTTATTGACTCGACAAAACCAAATTTACGCTTCTCACCATAACGTTTTGTATTCATTTTATTCCAGCGACGACTTCGTTCTTCCAACATCTTTTGTTTCTCTTCAGGAGCGAGGAAATTTGTTGTAAAAGAGGAAGATAGAGAAGAGATAGGAGCAGTAGCAGTAGTAGTAGTAGTTCTACTACTCCTAGTCCCACCTGTCATGTCCGTGTCAGACGCACCCGGTGGTGCCATTATCAATCTCTGCTTCCTGATCACTGTTTACGACGTTAGTTTTTATAGTGTGTATGGGTGGCAGGGGTGGTGGACAAGAACCTATACTATCGCATTCTTTGGATTCTATGCGCTTCGATAGGAAAGCATCAGATATGGACGTGCAGCCATGGATCAGATCGATACTACCATAACAACGACGATAATGACAACTGGTACAAATCAATCATTGCCATCGATGAAGAAAGAGATGGCGGGAGACATTCCTATCCATTTAACATTAGGAAATACGACACTATCGCTTCGAGCAACAGGAGAATGGGAACTTGGTAATGGAAACAAGATGATGCAAAAGTGTGGATGCTTTGATTGTCACATGTTAACAAAATCATGCAAGTGCGTACAGACAATGCAGCGTTACAACAGATGAAGGAGTATGTGCAAAGGCTAGAGAAGCGCAATGATGCGCTTGAGGTGGAGAATGCAGCGTTGGAAGACAAGTACTTGCGTATAATGGAAGAGTGGCATATGGAAAAATTCAAGTGTCAACTGCTGGTTGAGATGGTGCGTCTTCCACAACACGTATAGTGCTGTTTCTTTAGTATTTCATTACATTCATGCGTTCATCATATGCATTGGTCATTTATACATTTGTTTCTTGTCACTGTTGGTAGCTAGCAGTATCGAGTCTAGATGAGGAATCAACGAGAATACAAGCAGAGCAAGAAAAGGCACGAGCAATCAGGTTGAAAGCAGACATAGTGGCATTACTGGAGCAAGCGCGTATCGAAGGGCTCGACATGTGCAAACTGAACGTCGCACTTGATGTCGAGCCGTAGGTTGGAGCTCTTAAATAGGCTATAGATCGATACAATGCATTACGAGAGGTTGGGAAGGTCAAGTGGAGTGAGTTCAGAAGTGGCTGTAGCATAGAACTTTCAACGAGGCGGCTACACTACTACTACTACTACTACTACTTAAGAATACTAAGAAGAAGAATACCATATGGTTTTGTGCTTTGGTCAAAGGCAGGACGACTGAAGTCGCGGCTTTCCCGTTATCAATTGAGCAAGTAAATTCTAATCGTCAATGGGCGGGTGTTCGTCCAAAAGCGACACAAAAGACAATGTCCGACACAATGAGCGTCACTTTATTCCAAGTGGAGAAGGCGGCAATACGAGCAGCTCTAAAAAATATGGACGTTCTGTAGCTGATACGACGCGTGAGCGCTCTGACAAGTCGACTCGTCGAGGGCCTAGTAACAATACCGTGGACTTTCAGGAGTTTAAGGACAAGGAGAAGAACGTGGTTGAAACAATGCTGGAGAGTAATAAAGGACTGCGGATGGCCGAGATAAATTTTCACGACCTCAAGCTGCAGAAGATTATTGGTGCAGGGGCGTTTGGTGAAGTGATCAAGGGCACGTACTGCGGCACTCCTGTTGTAGTCAAGCGAATGCTACGTACAAAGATTACCGAGGATAATCTACGTATGTTTGGTGACGAGATTCAGCTTATGATGAATTTGCGCCACCCTAATATTGTGCAATTCATTGGTGCTAGTTGGAATTCGTATTCCAATATGTAAGTTTATGAATGGAGGCTTTGGACCCGAGAGTGACTAAACTTGTACTGTTGTTTTGTTTTTTATTGATGACTGTAGTTGCTTTGTGACAGAGTTCTTGGAGAGAGGAGATCTCTTTGCCGTGCTACGAAATTCAGAAAACAAGATGACTTGGGCAAAGCCCATTTTACGCATGACTATTGACACCTCGCGCGGTATGGCGTACTTGCACAGCATGAAGCCTCCTATAATTCATCGCGACCTCAAGAGCATGAACATTCTCGTGAGGTACTGACGCTGACTGACACACACACAGTTACCTTTCAATCCAATATGCTGTTCCTTGGTAAATAAATGGAAAGAGTGCACCGTTCTGACATGTTAATGTGATAACAACTTGTAGTTCGACGTGGGGTGCCAAGGTGAGCGATTTCGGCCTGAGCCGTGAAAAGTCTGTTGATGAAACGATGAGCGTGACTGGTACACCGCTGTGGCTACCGCCTGAGATGATTCGTGGAGAGCGTTACACGGAGAAGGCCGATGTCTACAGCTTTGGCATTGGTACATATATTTGACACACAAATTGCTTGAAGAAGGTCTTGAGGTGCGCAAATTTGCTACTGACTGATTGGTGTTCTACAATGAATAGTATTAGCAGAGCTAGATACGCGCAAAATTCCGTATCACGATATCAAGGCCAAGGGTGCTCGCAATAAGAAGGTGTCTGGTAGTACGCTGATGCATATGGTTGCATACGAAAAGCTGCGTCCCTCGCTGAGCAAAAACTGCATGGACAGCGTACGCAACCTGTATGATCGCTGCACGTCTGATGATCAGGCGTTGCGTCCCACTTTTGAGGATATCGTGCAGTTTCTCGAAAATGACGTTCGCAAGGAGACGCTTATACGTGCAGTACGTGTTTGTATATTTTTGTATCTGTCTGTCTGTAGATTGTTGTTGGTGTTGTTGTATGTATTTGCTAATATTGTAATGTCTGTAGAATGAAGAGATGAATGTAGTTGAAGAAGAACAAACTGGATTGGATGTTTCGCCTGAAGAACTTGGTGTTCACCATGCCACTCATTATGTGGATTAATAATAAAAGCTCTAAAAACGGTTTTTCATTTCAATATTTTGAATTTATATCTAGATCATAATTTGGATATCGTCCTTAAGTGCGATTTTCATGCCACGTGTCACTTTTATTAGTTAAATTCAAATACCTCCTGTTTGCTTGTTCACCCCCTCCCAAATGAAGATACCTCGACACTTGTCATTCCTATTTTGACCAAGTAATACGAGCAACAGTAGTAGTAAATATGGGAATGTGGAAGCTTGGAATTTCAATGACAACGATGGCGTTTGGTGTCGTAACGGCTGGTGATGTGGAAGTACTGACACCTGATAACTTTGATACGATCGTAGACGGATCAAAGCATGTCCTGGTAAAGTTCTATGCACCGTGGTGCGGTCATTGCAAGAGTTTGGCACCAACGTACGAGACAGTAGCAACGTCTTTTAAGAAGACGGACAGCATTGTTGTGGCGGAAGTGGATGCTGACAATTACAAAGAGTTAGGCTCTAGATTTGATATTACGGGATATCCCAAGCTCAAGTATTTTCCTAAAGGGTCGACGGAATCTGAAGATTATGAAGGCGGTCGTTCTGCAGAAGATTTTGTCGCGTTTTTGAATGAAAAGGCTGGTACTAACGTGCATTTAGCCAAGGAACGAAGCTACGTGACTGCGCTGAGTAGTTTGGACTTTGATGCAGAGGTTATTCACTCGAAGAAGCACGCGCTTGTTGAGTTCTACGCCCCGTGGTGTGGCCACTGCAAGACTCTGGCCCCTATCTATGAGGAGGTGGGCGCTATCTTTGCGGGCGAAGAAGACGTTCTTATTGCTAAGGTGGATGCCACGGCTAATGACGAGCTGAAAACGCGTTTCAACATTAAGGGCTTTCCGACGATCTATTACTTTGGCCCGGAGTCGGATGAACCTTTGGACTACACGGATGGTAATAACAAGGAATCGTTTGTTGAGTTTATTAACGAGCACGCTGGTACGCTTCGTTCGGCAGATGGCAGCCTACTGCCTGAGGCTGGTCGTGTTGAGCAGTTGGACGCAATCATCAAGGATAGTGGTGACATCACGTTTGATGTGGTGAAGAAGGCGCAGAAGATTGTGGACGGCTTGGAGGATCGTGATTCCAAATACGGCTTGTTGTATGTGAAGGCCATGAAGAAGATTATTGCGAAGGGCCCGTCGTACGTCGATACGGAGATTACGCGTCTGGAGGGTTTGCGAGACAACGACAACGTATCCGCCCAAAAGAAGACACAGTTCGAGGTTCGCAAGAACATTCTCAAGTCTTTTCAGGAAAAGACGAACGAGAAGACGGAACTGTAAGGTGGGTGGTCGAGTCATGGTTTTGGCAGTCGCACCTGTAGAATGGGCAGACATGAGCTGCTGCTTGCATCATCGTTGTAGGAAAGCGCTAAAAAATGTCAACGCAGTCTGTCTTGCTACTGTGAGTCTGCTGTCTGAGTGGGTCCATAAGTTTTTGCTCGTCTATTTTATCTGTGCAATTCTATTCCGTGCGAGCATTTTTAAAGATGCCAGCTATGCGTGTGCTTCGCTTCACGTCCTGTCGCCAGCCCTGACGGTCAGACATGAGTGCATCTTCTCCTTAATTTCCATTTCACGTGCCTTAGGCTGCTGCGTCTCCTTTTGAGCCTACTTACTACATGTAGCTTCGTATTACACACCAAAATTATCCCAAATCTACGCGCCAGTCTGTTTACGTGACGATTATTGCAGGACAATGTGCGTTCAAACTGATGCCATTTCCGACAGCGTGCTGCGTAGCTTATCAGCAAAATTCTGACGATCCACGACGATACCCTTTTCAAATGGACAGCTCGGGACGCGTACACCTCCCAAAGCCCTCTGCATCTTCACCGAACGATTCTACAGCAGAGGAAGAACAAAGCAAATTATGACACACGATCCGAAAAAAACGTAATGCTGACGTTGACTCGTACCTCCAGGAAATAAATATCTACGGCGCAGCGGTCACCATAGGATAGGCGGACCTGAGTTTGCGACCGCGGGATCATTACCAACTCGGCAGGCACAAAAGACTTGTCATCGCCACCATAAGACTTTTCAGCGTAGTAACCCTTCTCTTCACCAGGAAGTTTAAACTTGTAGCCCAGCTTCATTCCCTTGCCACCCATCTTGCCCCGGCCAAAAGCTTTTGGGCCTTCATTGGCTGTATCTTCCTTCGTATTGGACACAGGATCTTGCCGGTAATATTTAGCGCAAAGTAGCTGTGACTCTACAACACTTGCTAAAATTCCCATGGGAATGCACGTGCGCTCCAGCGCTTCTACAAACTGTGCTGGGTCACTGTGTCCATTCAGCGCTGACTGGATAAAGTGCATCAGCGGGTGCTCGGCTTTATGGCTGTAGTTAACTACAAACCCCATTTTCTGCTTGAACTGCACGATAACGCGGTATGTCGTCATTCCATCCGGCGATGACCCAGCAGCAATACAGTGCCTTGGATTTGGTGCTCGGCAAGCCAGCACAATCGCAAATGGGTCGGCACTCTCAACATAAAAATGTCCATCGCTTTTAATGTCATTAGTGTAGCGCCCTACAACGGTCATCATTTTCTCCAACTTTACAGCAAGTTCACAGAGTGGCCGAACGACACAGATCAGCTCAACCATGAACAATTCCAGCGGGTTCTCACTGAAAAGATCACTTGTAACCAACATTGTTGGGTACTTGAAGATCAGTTGGCCTCGTGCATTAACATAGTGCGAGCGCTCAGATAATAAATGCTGTTTTGGTTTCTTCGGAAGGATAAACCTAAATGGCACTGACGACATCTGAAGACACAACTCAAAGCCTCCACCTTGTTTCAGGTGACCTTGGATAGCTATGATCTTCAATGGATCCGTGTTTACCTTCTCAGGGAACGAAAGCGTAACTACTTGACCACCTGTGCCCTCTCCGTTGAAAGTACCAGCTTCTCCAGAGTAGCGAATCCTGGACTTGCGCCGCCGAGCAAAGTTCACAAAGTGCTGCAATTGAATCCTCTCACTGCACGCATTGATCGCGTGCAGCAGTACTGACGCGATATGGGGAACGAACCTGCAAGAGACTGCGCAACTTTCGGCGTCGTCCAGCCAGTAGCCTGTGCTCTCTTGTACTCGTCCACTCTCAAGGAGCGTCTTTTTGGTTGATCTCATATTACTTCCAATCAAAACATTGCCATACGAACTGTATGGACGCTTCCGAGTATTGCCACGAAAACCACTGACAATTATTTCGTTGTGGCGAGTGACAGATGGACGCAGATCTGCCTTTTTGAACGCGCCAAATCGCTGAATAAATTGTACACCAGAAGGCTGTCCTGGCAAGCTTACACTCGTCTGAAGTAACGAAAAACATGGCAATCGTACATACTCTTCCGCTTCTGTGGCTTCGTGTGCATTTCCGTTCATTCCATCTACTTCACCATACTTATCAATCTCAATAACTAGGTAGCATGTAGACTCCTTGGATGACGTTAGCTGAAAATACAGCGCTGTGTCTGAGATTGATAAATCTTCCGTCTGCCCACCGTGCTGCTGCCGGAAAGCAAGATATCGCTCCCAGTTCAAGTTGACCTTGCGTAATACTTCAATGCCCTTGAATGAAGAGCCAATTTGCGCTATCTCGTCAGCCACGATTTCGCACAGAACCTTACGCACGCACCCATGTATCACATCATTTGACTTGTCATCATTTCCATCACCGGAAACTAAAGCAAAATCGCTCGGAATCGAATCGTCCATATTACCTCCAAGCTCGATTTTGCATCGCGTATCCAATACCTGCTCTAATTGTTTCATCGTGTTATAAAGCGCGGAATGCTTCGTGGCAGCGACGGAGTTCACGATAAATCGACCATCGCGAATGTCAAATGTCACCTCCAAAAATTGCTGCAGTCCACCAATATCTGCCCGTGCGATTCGTAAACTCGTATCGGAGCAGACCATAGCAACATCTTCGCCAGAAACAAGTTGTGTTGAAGCCTTCTCATTCGGAGAATCGACAACAAGCAGTCGACCTATTGAGAAAAGAGCTGCCGAAACGTGGGCACGCATGCCCGCGATAAGCAGATTCTCAGCACTGAGCATGAAGATGTTAGATGGCACCTCCAATGCGCTTAATAATGACGCATACTCAGGAAGATTCGGCGGAAGCGACGGATTGAGACTAGCAGAGAGAAGCTTTTTCTTGTTCGGATCGAAACCCAGTCGAACACACAAGCTCGATCTAGGATACGGCAGCGCAGGCCCATTTTGAACTGTTGTCACTGGGTCGCCTAGTTGTTGAATCAGGCGCTGTTGTTCTGTTAGTGCTTGTGCATCTTTCCGCGTACAGGCCTTGGGCCAGTAGCATAAGTCCAAAACATTCTGGTCACGATGGTGTTTAATCATGATGCGATTCTTCCAGCGACCTTCCATAAGCAATTTCCCTTGCGACGCAAGAATTTGCAAAGCAAGTGACGAGCAAAATTCCCGCATTACCACAAAAGCATCCACAAATGGCTTCTCAGACTTATTCATGGTGCGTTGCACAAGGTTCTTCAAATGATTGTAGTGTGCTGCATTTGGTGAATTCGTGCGGATAATGCGTAAAGCGCTAGTGGATGCTGCCTGCGAGTGGTCTGCAAAAGCTTTCGGTTCGGTAAGCGCTGTATTCACACTGATAACACGCCATTTAGCATCATTCTCTTTGCCCTGAATGGTCAAAACAATTTCAAATTCTCCTTCAGCTTGGCACGTAACAAAGCCCCCTTCCAGTTTAATGTTCGAAACCTGCTTTGGAATCTCCTCCCCAATGAGACGGAAGCGGATAATGTCGGACACCTCCATCGCTGCCTGATCCGTATCCACTTTGGGCATTTCACGCGGGAACATAGCGTTCTTGATAATAGTTGGCAGCCGTAGATAGCTACCACCGTACAAAACGTCTACAGCAGTACTAAGATCATACCGCCGCTCCTTAGCTCGGTTGAGATCCGCATGCATGAAGAATAGTCGGTCATTGGTCTCGTTCACGTTATTACGGTACGCTTCCGTTTGCTGCAACAATAAATCACACTGCTGTAGCAGCGGCGACTGCACCGACCACTTAAGCACCGCTAGTAACTGCGCAAAACGCTTGCGAGAACTCTGTATAATTCCCAATAATGGCTCGCGTCGCTCCTCCTCGCGCATTGTAGGCAGCTGGTGCATGAGCGTACGGAAATCCTCGTAGCTCTTGTCCACTGCACGATGTACGAGTTCAGACGCTTTGATGCTCGTACGCTTTGGCGGTGGAAAGTCTCCCATGCCCTACTATACTCTGCAAGTACAATAGATGTCTCTCGCTGCTACTTTGTCCAAGATCCAGTCAATCCCGTCGCGAAAAGTGTCCTCAGTCAAACGACTTTGGAGCACTATTTACCCGTAATGCAGCGCTGTGATTTCCTTCACGTGAGTCTATAAATGAAGCAAAAGCACTGCTCCGTTTATGACTTCAACGATGCAAAATTCTCTTGTCTTAATGCAGTACGTGGGACAACGGCCGACACACGCTTCTCACTCCCCCTTCTAAGGGCTGGAAAGCAATTTTACGAGTGAGCGTGGTTTTCGAATGGTTTTTGAAGTTAATATTTTTGTAAAATACCACCTTCTTCCCTGTTACTTTTAATAGTAACGGATCGATTCAAAACAGTTATTTATCATATAAAATACTCTGCTAATACTTGATGAACCGCTACATTAGATATTAGTTTTGTGTAAAATTTAGCTTATAAATCGGGGCGATATCTGTATCCGGCTATACATTGCTTGGCGTGCTTTCAAAACGTGTTGGACTATAATGCAACTTTCAGATGCAAACCAAAGCTTCATGCAATGTTGTTTGATGCTCATTCGGCTCAATTTTCTATTCTTCACAAGTTTTATCACAATATATAAAGCATCAGCAAATACCAAAAGTAAACCTGCTCTCGACACTTACTACATGTTGCCTATCTTGGCTTACACACTTTTGAGTTGGCGATAGGCTTGCCCTCATTGCATCAATAGGCAATAACCACAAGCACACGGATGTCTATGTTTGCCATGATCATATGCTCCACAGAGCTCACCGACGGAATAGTCACCAGCCCGTGACATTGGGCTACAAACACCAATCGCGGCTGAGTATACTTTTGAAAATCAATTACTGTCCAGCACGAGCTTGAACGAGCAAATAAGACCGCGGCGACAACAGTGTCGACAAGACCGATCTGCTCAGGTACACAAGTGCAAAAAATATTCTCATGAACTGCAGAGTCTTCTTCACAGTATACTTAGCACAAGCTAACAACATTAATCGTATGCCAGTTTAAAATGGAATTCAGCCAGATCTCAAGCACAAGATAATCGATCCAAAAAGTTTGCATGACCAGAATCAATTCATTGTCTTGCTGTTAGGTTAATGTCAGCGCGATGGCGGGACACGTGTGTCGCCATGGCGCCGTTTTTGATCATGCGATTCTCTTTGGTCTCCAGGGGTCTTGTTCTTAAAAACCGATGTCAACGGGCAGAAAAAACCATGGTACATTCAAAGATACGTGTAAGGCGTCAACGCCAAACCAATTTGATGACTATAATGTGATATGATGCATCTTTGTTGTCGAGTGAGCGCGACGATGAACGCAGCGACGCAAACTTTGCTGCTCTGTGGCGTATAGAGAAAAAGCAATGACGTAAAGCGATTGGCTCGGTCTTTTTCGTTTTGTACAATACAGTTTTAGAGCATTATTGATTGCAAATAAACAAAATTGCACTAACATTCTATCAAAACAAAAAGCGCACTAAAGACCAGTCACGAGGGAAACACCAAGGTCTAACGTCTTCAACATTTGCAGCATATTTCCATGCTTCAAGATGCTAGTCAAGACAGTGATTATTTTTCAAGGAGGTCGGCTTGAACTCCTATTCACTTTGTTGCGAAGAGGAGGACAGACAGCAATTTAGACAGATTTTTAATCTTGACTATGAGCTAATGACGTGTGTACTTCTTGTCTATGCGTTTATTCCTAAACATAGTGGATCGCATGCAGTATGCATGCGTCCAGTCCGAACAGGCTCTCGCCCCACAAGAACCCAATGTAAGGCGTGTGTTGCTTTGCTTATCTGCGAACTGTATGTGTAGCAGAGCTACCCTGGCAAAGCTATTAGTGCTAAGTGCAGAGAACTACAAGCTTTAGGTGCTTTAAGTCTTAGGGCTTACAACCCTCACGAGGCTAGCTTTACAAACTTGTGTCTCCTGGTTGTAAAACACCACGTCTCAATCAGACCAGTATCACAGAAACTATATTTTTATCGCAATAGACTACTCTTTCGTGGTAGAGTTGCTCTTGTGGTGGAGTAGAGATTGCAAGATCCTTGCGCTCCCAGCTTCACGTACTGGATACCAGACAATCGACTAACGGAGGGGGTACTCGGATACCGTGTGCTGAATGTCCTTCCTAACCCTTGTGTACCCGTCGATCGGTCGGGTTGCACTCTTTCAGGTGGACTCTGAGTCGATGTCGGTCTTGATGTGTTTGGGAAGGTCATCGACTACGCGTAAATATCACGAGGTAGGTAGTACTTGGTGGCAGACTAGTAAGTAGTCGCCTCGGTCCACCTTTAGATCGCCCTTGTCCTAATATGAAGATCTACTGACCACTTGAGCCGTCTTAGATCTTGACTTGATGATGTAGCTGCATCCAACGACAAGGTCTTGTGTGTTGAGAGTTCGTGAGCCTGCTAAACTATTAAGATTTATTTCTCATTCGAACGCGCGTGGTGTCTTTAGACGTCAGGGCCAACCCACCTGGAAGAGAAGGCGGCGCGTATACTTGTTTAGAACTCTGTATTATATTAACCAATTAAAAGTCAAAAGCCTGCGACTTTGACTTCCTATCAGATATCCAACCAGGTGTAACCAAAAGATTGTCCCTTCTTAGAGTAGTCCACACCGATGCCACGTGTCGTTCGTTTCATGATCTGATCTTTGTATAATGTGGTCCACACTCTCTCTATATATAACAATCCACATAGGATAGTAATCCGCAAGTGATAGCGAGATAGTGATTCACAGTGATGGCGATCCAAATAGTGATAGCGATTCATAAACCGATCTTATCGTGATCGAGATCTCAATCGCGGTCGGTGTGTGGTCCACATAGTGATAGCGATCCACATAGGATAGCGACCCACATAGGATAGCGATCCATACATCGATCTATGTCGCGATTGCGGTCTGGATCGCGGTCAGTGTGTGATTCACGTAGTGATAGCGATTCACACAGTGATAACGATCCACAAGCAATGACTGTAACGGGGTGTACCATATTCATCCTGATAGGTGCAATCTAGCAGCCCCTTTCATTTAGTAGACTTAGCTAAGTACATATATTACATGAATAGGCATATGTGTACCCGACATAGCAGGGGCGTGTCTTATTCCTTATAGTTCATAAGTGTAAATCAAGCCCACCATCAGCCAATAGGTTTCAACCTTTACATTGAGTGGCAGTTTGGAGGCCACTCGTACTTAGGATAAATTTTAGGAATATAAAACAGAGTTTAATTTAATATAATTTTAATTTTAATTAAATACGCAAGGAAGACCTGCGCCTGGAATTAGAGCCTTCGCAAGATAAGCACCACCACCGCTAGGCTTTCTTGGCACTGAGGCAAGGTCGCCTGTCGATGCTGGATTATAACCAGTCGGCACGACACCTGGCGTCCTGCGTCGTCACCAATTTGGTTGATATGGTAACGCAAGTCCACGTGTTTGTCACGCGAATGAACGCTGGGCATAAGCGTTTTTATTTGACGTGGAAGCCCCCCTACGTTGCTTGAAGAGGCGTTTGCGATCCCGTTGCGTGAGGAATTCAGTGTCATGGCTTCGCGCATGGAATATTCTTTGCCTCCTCCTACTACCCAAGAGCCTAAGCCCATGGAGGTTGACGCGATCAAGCACGCCACATACTCTCGTCGTGCTCCGAGTGTCGAATGTCGGAAGCCTGTAGCACCAAAACGGCTGCATTGCTTCCGCTTTTGTAAGCCTGGTCACCACGCGGCTGTATGCCGTGCACATGCGCCAGTCCTCGCTGTCGCCGCATCTGACGTCACCGTCAAAGCCGCTGATCAGCCAAATCCCGAAGGCAACCAGTAGGCGCGGGGCATCCTACTTGGTGGAACGGAAACGCGTGTCTGCAGTGGCGACACGTTCTCCTAGCCCCGCTGTGCACGATTCAAGGCTATGAGATACCGCGTCCAGCAATAATCTGCGTTTGATCGTGCTTAGTGTTTACGGTGACGGTGCGTCGCGTCCACTCCGCGCATTGGTGGACTCAGGCGCGAGCAACAAATTTGTCCACGCCGACAGTTTACCCGTTCTGCCGTCGCGGTTGCGTGTCCGCGAGTCTTAAGGAGAGATTATCGTCAAGTATGCGGACGGCAAGCCCCCCCCCGCGCACCGACATCGTTTGGTGGTGCTTCCTTACCTGCTCGATGCTTTTGAATGCAGTGATGAATTCCAAGTTATCGACTTGAGCGGTCCATTCGAATGTATTTTTGGGATGCCGTGGCTTGCACCACATGTACCTGACATCGATTAGTTGAACCGTGCGGTTCAGCTACGTGACGTTGATGTCACTGCGTCTCTCGCCGTTTTTAACACACCGACAAGTATTTGGCAGACTGTTACTGTCATGGACCCCAACTCCACGACTGATCATGCCCCAAAAGTGTGCAATGGATTTTTAAGTGTGGTGTGTAAGTCAACAACCTGCTCCCCTCTAGTCGAAAAGTGGTTTCTGAGTCAAGAATAGATCCCGTAGCAGTGGCAGCGGGAGTCTCATGGTCGAGAAGCGGCTACCATGCGTGTGCACTCATTCAAAACCGTACGAAGGCAGCTTTCCGTGCGTCACGAGCAAGCAGCGGCTCCCGTACGAATGCGGCCTGCAAATGTTGCGCCGAAGCAGAGGCTACTAGTGCGCGCAGTTTTAACCCCAACCGCATCGAAGTAGAGGCTATCGATACTTCGCGAGAAAGCTGTGGCTCCCGTGTTAGTCCCCATTGAGGACACCACGTCGAATCACTGGTTTTCGACGACTTACGCGGAAGCAGTGGCTTCCGTACGACCGGTCGTGCATTCGGGTCGTGATCCTGGGTCACGTCGACGCCGTGGGCAAAGTGCTCGTGCTCCTCCTCCCTTGTCGACACCATCTCTTCCGCCGGCATCTCCTTTATATACCTTCAATGTCATTAACATGATTGGTGCTGGTCCGCGCAGCCATGCGATACAGGTCGCGAGTCCTGACGCGTCTGGCAGGACGAGTTACTGCGTGATCTGAAGATAAATGAAATCGCAATTCTGTCTAGTGGCCAAGATTTCGAGCTCAATAACCACGAGAGTCCTGATGGGATGGAACCGAAGTCCGCACGCGAAGAGCGCTTCGCGGCGCAATCCTGGGAAGAACTTGCTGCGTCAAAGAATCCTGCTCTCGCGCTTGCGCGCGAGTTTCCCGACGTATTCCTTGATAAAATACTTGCGGTCATTCCTGCGGATAGATGAGTGCGCACGAGATCTATCTCGTGCCCGGCTCAAAGTACTAGCGTCACTCGACAGTGGCCCCTCCCTTGTGACCAAGTCAAAGCTATTGACGTCTTCTTTGAGGTCACGTGCGTGAGAGCACGTCGCGCCTCTTCGTGTTCTACTTTTTTGTATCAAGAATGCGACGGGAGATGTCGCTTTTTTCATGCTTCTAACAAACTGAACGATGCAACTACTTCGACGCAGACTCCAATCCCTCGGAAGGACATGGTGTTTGATGCCATGTCAGGAAGCACGAATTTCTCGTCTTTGGAGTTGACGGACGGCTTCTACCAGATCTTGATGTTCCTTTCAATGCCGTCAGCACGCTTAGTGGTATGATTTGAGAGTGGCTTGTCATGTCGCAGGGGCTCGAAAATGCCCATGATACTTTCAGCCGCATGGTTTCACACGTGCTTCGTCCATTTTGCGACTTTGCGCCGAGTTATTTTGATGACATCTTTGTGAAAAGTCGCGCTTCCAATGGCGTGACAGAATTGGACGTGCATCTGGGTCACCTTTACAGAGCTTTTGAGGAGATGCATGAAAATAAATTATACGCAAACCTGAAGAAATGAATCTTCGGTGCTCCCGAGATCCCATTGTTAGGCAATAATGTGAGCGCGAAAGTTGTTCGCGCTGATCCGAGAAAATTTCATCCATTTGCTCATGACCGGTTTGGAAGGACCAGAAACAACTTCGACAATGGTTGGGTCTGGCCAACTACCTGTATCACTACGCTAAGGACTCTGCGGCAGTGAATCATCCATTGTCACAGTTACGAAAGAAGGACGCCACGTGGGTGTGGCGTCAAGAGCATCAGGATAATTCGACGAGATCAAGCAAAGCCTATAGACAGCGCTCGTGTTAGCGCTGTAGAATCATGATGCGCCATTTCATGTCGTCTGTGACGCAAGAGATTTTGCAATCGGCTGTGCGCTGATGCAACATGATGCCGCGGGGTAATAACGCGTGGTGCGCTACAGTCTCGGCAGCTGAAGCCTGTCGAGTAAAACTACCCTGTCTATAACAAGGAGCTGCTTGCAATGCGCTATGCGCTCGTTAAGGCTCACGTTTATTTGCTTGTAGAGCAGGCATTCGCCACCTACACAGATCACGCGCCTCTGCGTACCGCCAACATCTCAGCCAGCGCATGGCGCACTGGTTTTCGTTCTTTGCGGAGTACAGCTTCATTATCCATTACAATCCTGGATCGACCAACATCATTGCCAATGCCTTGTCACGACGTCCTGATTATGATTCTCGCGCCAAAGCTTCTGTTTCCGCCGCCCCAGAGTCAGATGATGATGACTGAGCGACTTGCGTTACACTCGGTCTCAATGCTACGGCTGTGTCTGTGGCCAACCGTCTCTGCGTTGACATCGTGGAAGCGTATTCCCGCGATGAGTTTTATTCAATACCGTATTTGGGTAAATTTTAGGATGATGCGCTATCCACTCGCGCACACATCACGCGCTATGCTTTGAATGGTAAGCTGCTCACGTACGGGTCGATCGTTTCGATTCTCCACGTATCGTCGTCTCCCTTGAAGTACGATCTTCGCAGGCGTAGTCTTCATGAGTATCATGAAAGTGCGTCGAGCGGTCATTCGGGTCGCGAGTAGACATATCTTGCGCTAGCTCGGGACTTTTATTGGCCCCAAATGTACAATTGGGTACGTAAGTGGGTTCGCTCCTGTGAGGTTTTCTAGCGTGTGAAGCCACCTCAGTCGCCACAGGCGCCCGTTTGCCCGCTACCGATCGCCACAGAGGTTTCGACTCCGTGAGCATGGATTTCGCGTTTGGTTAACCCGCCGATGCGCAGGGGTGCATCGGCTTTTTGGTGATTGCTGACAGGTTTAGTAAGATCATGCGTCTTTTTTTTTTTAGCTGTTACGTCGACCATCACTGCGGAGAAGACCTCAACTATCTTCGTCAATATGGTCTTCAGCTTCATGTCATGGCTGCCACTATTGATTCGGATTGGGATCCTCGCTTCACAACCGCATTTTGGCCTCGGCTGTTCGAGATATTCGGAACCCACCTGATGATGTCTACTGCTGTCCACCCTAAAACGGATGGTCAGACTGAGCGGATCAATCGCGTCTTGGAGGATGTGTTGCGTAGCTACGCTACTTCGTTTGCGTCATGGACTTCTTTTCTTTTCCACTAAATAATGCAGTCCACGTTTCTACAGGGTTCACACCCTTCTTCGAGAACAACACGCGCCATTCCCGTTTTTTTGTTCTTCTAAGATTGACCTGTTATTATATCTTGTTGGGGGAGGGACACCAGATCATTTGGTGTAAGCGGCGTCTTGTCAGGTAGTCCTCGACGACTTACTCAACGGTGCTCAGACTCGCGCTGCTGCTCAGAGCGAGACCACTCCGACGACCATCGACGACGCCGATGATGGAAGCCGTGCAGCTCAACTAGTTCCGTCGTCTGGTGCGACATCCGACGTTGCTGCTCTTGAGGTGACACCGATGCAGAACGTTTGCTTATCCGACTCCACAGCGATTGAAGCGTTCGTGCAGCAACTTCAGTGCGTCGTGCGTTTGTGCGCAACGCTATCGCCTTTGCAGTGGACAAACAAAAGTCGTCCGCCAATCAACGCGGACGCAAGAACCTCGTAAAGTTCAATATTAGAGATTCTGAAATGCTCTCAACGAATGGAAACAAAATGCGCCGATATTACGAGTCTCGATGCCACAAAAATGTACCGCAATATACTGACCCATTTAAGACCACTAAAGTCAAGGGTGATGCCTAGCACTGGATATTTTTTAATCTATGCGTCTCACCCAGCCTTCTACGCTGGCCGTCTAAAGCGTTACTTGACGGCTATTCTCCCGATGACGGTTAACTCACCGCGGATTAATGCCGCGGTTCCCGGTAACGTTGTTCCCTCGTCTAATCAGGCTGGCGCAGCCCACGCAGAGCCACGTTGTCTCGACGAAGAGCGGCATTAGATTGTTCCAGACGTTCAAGACGCTGTGCGAATACAGCAATCACATATTAAGTCTCCTCAGCAAGGCTCTCGGCAGCTTCGGCTAGGTTACGCGCTTGACATGTATCAAGGTCAACGAAGAAAATTCTCCAATCGAGCTCCTGAAGCTGCTCCACATGTGACATGTTCAGAGTCGGCTCAGGACTTTCGAGATTTGCGCCACGCATACGATTCCACCGTGAGGGGTTGTGGCAGTCCATTAGTATGGACTTTGCGTTTGGACTACTACGCGATGCGGCAGGCAACACTGAAATTGTGGTCTTTGTTAACCGACTGTTCAAGATGGCTTATTTAGCGGCAGTGTCGGACTCCATTGGTGGAACAAGAACAGCTAAGTTGTTCATAGATCGTGTTAGACAACACGGATTGCCTGTGACAACCGTCTCAGATAGAGTCCCCCGTATTATTACGGGTACATTTTGGACGTCATTATTTACAGTGCTGGGCACTAAAAATACATGTCCACAGCGGATCATCCACTGACTGACGGTCGAACAGAACGTGTGAATCGCGTAATTGGCAATATAAATTTGAAGTGCTTGAGCTGAAACGCCCAAGAAATGGAGCACAATACTCTTTTTCATTGAGTTTGCGTCGAATAACGCGGTACATGCCTCGACAGGCTTCACCCATTCTATGTGAATTGTTTGGGTAACCCTCGCGTTCCGTTGACGCTAACCCGCACCACACCAGGGATTAGTGGAGGAGAGATAGCCGAAGGCTTGGCTGATATAAGCCCTGTTGCGATTTGTAAGAAGGTGGAAGTGTGGTGAAGTGTTTTAAAAACTGGATGGTCAGAGGACTGGTGGGTCAAAGACACCCGTCAAGGAGGAGCGAACGTTGAGTTAGGGACAGAGAGACGGAGAGATATAAAAGGACGGGGGACGACCGTTGGATGAGGAGAATGTACGGTTTAAGCGTGCTTCATTCAGAGGAGTTTATCGCGGTTAGCCCGATGGACCGCGGTTCCTCGAGGTGGACCCCGGTCTTCCAAAGCAGACCTAGTCTATCATGGGCAGGCCTCGGTTTTTCATACAGGTAGAGCTTGGCCCTTCGGTCGGTGGACCCTCGGTCCCTGTCCCCAAATGTCAACCATGGTCCTGCATCAATAGGCCTCGGTCCCTCGGCCCCTCGGCAAGCAGAATCAAGAATAAGGTCTCGGGGGTAAAGATAGGGTAAAGAAGTTAAAAGATAGGACTATATTAATTACTACTCAATTTGCGATCAACATAGCACACCTCCGTCGTGCTTCCAAGGTACTTACTAAGTCTACCCACCTGTTCCGGGAAGGAATACATTTTGGCCCCCCATCAAAGACAGTTATGTGGTAAGACCACAGTGCGAATAGAGCACCAGGATAATTTGGCCTGTGGTTTCGTCTGAGTAGCACCCCTCCAATCGCCCCGCTATCGGAAGTGGTTTCCCTACCCTAGTGGTCCGGGAGCAGGTAAAGTCCAGGCGATTAACACCCCTGAGATATCAAGGAAGGAAAAGGCCAGGGTTGAGCATCTCCCCCGAAGAATTTGGTTATAAGTCTACCCTCGACTCAGTCGACCGAGTGGCCACCTACCCGCCTACCGAGTGAAGTATATCCACTCGAGGTACCCCAAGTCGACCTCTCTCAAGGCCAACGTCACATCTCAACCAAGTCTTCTGAAGAGTACAACCCGCCAGCCGACGGGTACACAAGGTGAGAGAAGGGCTATACGCGGCATAGGGGTACCCTCTCCGACAGTCGGCAGTCCGGCACAGTGAGTGGCTTGGAGTCTCATAACGCAGGATTGAGAACCCACTCCACAACACGACGTATGGCGGTGGGTCCTTTCATACAAGTAGGTAAGATGATAGTTTTTGGAATTATTGGACATAGGGTAGTATTGAATTTGCTAGGTTAGTCATGGGTAGTGTTTGTACCTTCGTCTAGTAATTGGTATAGGCTTTGGTTAGTGACTAATACATAGTAACATCTGGTCGTACAAGTGTTATTATCTCTTCCAGGTTGGATATTTGGCTACCCGTTGAATAAAGGGAGCTCACGTACGTACAGCAGATCACCCCTGGAAGTGTTTTGGCCAGGATTTCAAGTACACTCAAATCATGTCAACTGCGATCGGACGCAGCGTTCAAGCAAGGGGCCTCTACGAGACGGCTTAAAGGGTCAGAAGATATACTAGACGGCTCAAGAGGACAAACAAGAGAGGGAAATGGAAGATCCAGGGTGGATGAAGGCAGCTTTCGCGCCAGTGTTTACTGCGACCGCAGGAGGAATTTTATGCGATCCACTACCTTCGATCCAGACCCCATCCCGATCAAGATCGGAGCAAGACCACCGAGGAGTGCAACCCGCCCAGTCGACGGGTACACAAGGTGAGGAATGATTAAATTACGGTATCAATTACCCCCTCCATCAGTTGACAGTTCAGGCACCAGTAAAAGGTCGGGACACAGAGAGTTTTTTGTGATCACCGCTCCACTACAGGAATATTAAAGAGTTTCAAGAACTCGTTGTCTTCTTGGCAGCAACTCTATGAGACTATCGCGATAAAGGTCTTGAATTTTCAAAGCTGGCTCTTACAAAAGTCGTTGCTGGAGGAAGGTGTTGGTAATTCTTAGTCATGGATCATCTGATGTCTAATGAGGAAGCGAACAACATTCGATGGCGATGTTAGCTTTACATAAACGAACGCCTTGAACATAACGACAGATCTTTCGATTCATATGGTATGTTATTGTTCTGTTCCTTTTAAACCTTACGTTGTGAAACGGTTGTGGAAATGCGGAATGGGGTGACCGAATAAAAGATCTTGTTCGGTATCAGTGCGCATTATTACGATACCAGAATACACATGCTTTCTCGCACCAATGTAAATATGCATTGTTGACACTCTTCATGCCCGTAAACTTTGACGGGCTTCATGTCCGTAATTCCGTGCCGTTATCAATTGCATTCCGCATGTGCGATAGCGTAATATGGCCAACAAAATTCACTGTAGCCATCGGCATATACAGAGTGACCTTTTGGAGCCGCAGTTCTCGCCGTACCCATTTGCTATATTAGCTTAAAATACTACCTGACAATTGCAGCATTATTTTGCAACATGTCTTAACATTTGCTATTGGCATGATTGAGAAACTATGTAGATGTAAGGCCCAATGACTACATGATAGACCACTGGTAGAAATTTGGTTGTCAAACGAATTTGCGAGAGGTAATGTCTCATTGCGACGTCCTTTCCAAGGGTCCTAATCCAACTTATGGATATCAATCTTTCTAACAGGTTTGTATATGCAGGTGGGTATTAGTTTAGATTTTCGACTGCTATCTCAATAAATGTCTTATATATCTATCTTACAGAATGCCCACAAGAGAAACCACTTGCTGGCCTCTTTCCTCTATCAACTACGTCTCCAGTAGCGATTGTCACCCAATCGAGAACAATTGTCCGTGCATGTGCAAGTTTGTTCTTTTACTAGTTAAAGCTTTTTCTTGCCTTCATGCAGTCTTATGTTCTCACCTCTTCAAGTGTCTCCCTCACGTCCATGATTATATTGAAGCGCAACTTACTTGAATGATGGTACGCACAAACTGGCCGTGATCTTCCTGAGCTTGTATGTACCTTGGCGTAAAACTTCTCTACTTACAGTGCAATAAAGCCGTGCGACGATCCAACTGCAGGTACTGCAACGTCACGTCATTGCCAGACACGGGCAGCACCAAGTGGATCTTGCTCAGCACACCAGGTGCATCATAATGCATGTGAGTACACGGATCGAGTTGTTGTGGATGGATAGCCGCATATCGAACTGCCGTGTCAGTAGACGTCATCGTAGAGCCTACACAAACAAAACGCACCAATTTTGAGGCATTTCACACAAAGCTGCACTGGCCACTTCCACTGCAATGTTGCCCTTGCCTCTTCCATGCTGCCTCTGGCGTCGCGGGTAAGGATCACGTTCGGCAAGCCACGCAGAGACGTATCGTATGACTTGTCGTTCGTAGCCGTTCCTTGCAAAAACATCCTCAACTATGTCAGCAATCTTGCCGATCTCGGCAGTCTGCTTAGCAGTATCAATCAAAACTAATGACCGTGCTGCGGCATTTTTGACCATTAGAGCACAGTCCTTCATCAATGCGATCACCTCATATGTACTTTTGTTGTTGGTAGGTTGCGTGGCTGTCACATGGAGAATCCCTACGACGTTTGCCATTCTTAGCACCTCTTCTAGAGAATCCACTTCCCGTGCATTACCTAAAAGCAGACACTTCATTAGGTCAAAAAATCAACTACATTCTAGTTCCCAAGTACAGATACTTGAAATTCAATGCATATATAGGCAACGATGTCCAACGCCATGCCACACACTTCTTGAGATTTAGTGGTCGGATACAGCAAACATGATCACCAAGCTTGGTGAAACTGCGGGTGTGTTGTCAAGCTGATGGAAATTCTCAATGGACGTTTGAAAGGCGTGGTTTTGACATTCATGAAGCACTGTGCTTTAAACGAGAAGTGGGACGTAACTGCGCAGCTAACTACGTCATCAGTTTGGCGGCCACATAGAAATGATGTGACACCCGTCTAGACACAGCTTGATCGTACTACCCAGGACCCTGGTGCGGACAGCCTGTTTCTTCGTTACATCAACCATATAGCATAAATGTCTGTTTTCCTATGAACTCTCTTTGTCTTTTTTTTGCCTCAACATCCGTGAAGCCTTATGCACGTACGAATGACTTAGAACCCGATGAAGCCCTGTGATTCAGTGCAAAAAACACTGTACCCACGTTATTTAGGTAAGTCCGGTATCGCCATCGCGTCGTTTAAAGATGATTGGCAAATGCAGATGCGAAAATGAAGCTGTGATTACGATAGTCATGGCCTTACCCGGACGTCAAGGGGTGCAATTGGTCCTACACAGATTCGGACAATGCCCAGACCATCAAGGATAGTGCCATTTTCTTAATGAAAAGCTGTAATTAAACGTTTTGTTAAAAAGGCTGTCATCATGACATTTTTGAGTGCTACGTGTGAAAGCAAGCGGACGTGTGATTGTATGGCAAGCAGCTGTAATCGAAGCAAATGACATTTTTATGAGGCGTAGGTTAGAAAATAATTGCGCTAGGGGTCTATGTTGGATTGTGGCAAGCGAAAAGAGGTGCAGTACGAGTGACTGAAACGCTTGTTTCGTTTTTACTGCACAACTTGTGATTGTTTTTTCTTCTTTACCATGCAACAACAGTTTCCAAAGACAATAAGAGATGGCGAATAAACGGTGTGTTGAGCCTCGATATTTTGTTTTCATTTCGCTTTATCGATCATACCCGTCATTCATAGTCTTCTCGTCTTCCCAGCCTATATGGTCAACGCTAGAAACACAGTTTAAAGTACTTATCTCCTGTTATCTTCCCCTAGTTTCATTTACATCCTGCAAGTCTTGCATTTGCTTATCCAAAGTGTTCACGGCCGCGGCCATCTCATGTACTTGTGCACCGTATTGTACTCACAGACATGGCGGTAGCAAGTGCATACGCAACCATCAGCTTGCTGTAACTTGCAGCTCCCGCGCTGATCTAGCGTACTCATATTCTGAGCATGATGCTCTTTCGTGCTCCCCACTGCAACCCTTCGTCGATGCTTGCGTACAATATACCAAGATATAGCTTGACCCGATCGGGTGCTGCACTTTTCCATCGCGTGTGTCCTGCAACGAGTTGATGCAGATGTGTTTCTTACTATGAACAAAGCACATTACATGAGCAAAACGTTGATGAAGCTACTGTGAAGAAATCGCCTCTTTGGGTTTACAGGAACATCCAGGCGTCATGGCTGTATCTGATTTCCTAGGGCCCTTCTAGGGTGCATCGATTGTCAAAGCAACGGATGGCCGCGTAATGTGCTCCAAAATTTTCCCCAATCCAGAAGTTTCGTTGCGCAAGGTATGGCGGTGCTTTATCAGGTCAAACAAATTACGTAGCGTGTGTTGATCTCTTGATGTATAGCTAAGCTTAGCACGAGAGTTGGGTTAGAGACGACGTCATAGTGATTATGTATAAGAATAAACAGTATAATGCTATTCTTACATCATCAAATCTATTATAACACTCACTTCAACAAAGCTGTTTTTATTTAGTTTTACAAGATATCACTATTAATAAGCACAAGAGCTTGTGACTTTCGTTTGTAAAGTAGTATGGAATTTCTCAATCACTGGTAATAAGATATTATCGAATGACAAAGTGTAGTACTTTGTAGAGGTAATTAATTTTAGCTTTTGTTTTGGTATGGAAGTTGGACGATTCGTTTGATTGGTCGTGACGCATCTGTGTAAATCTCGCCTTTCGACAGCATTTTTAAATAGAAATTAGGGGTGACATTTATTTAACTAAAAGTGAAGGTCACATCCACCTCTTATATCTGCCAATCAGATTTCACTCTGCTCTTAGGATAAGGGGAAAGAAATTTTGGGTGGACAATCATTTCCATCATTATTGAATTGATCATAGATAGTAGCTGAATTTATTGAGTAGAATGACAACGGTTTCAATAAACGATCAGGACTGTGCCGTGGACAGAGCGATACTTACGAAGACCAAGTCAATTGCAGTAGCTCCTGTAGTCGATCTTCAGAAAGAGCGTGAGATTGATGAGGTTATGGAGTTCCTCAAGTTTAGTGTCAAGCCGAGTACGAGTTTTGGGGGCACGATCTTGTTCAAGTTCAAGACCTCTGATGACGCCGTGCCAAAGTCCACGTATGCTGTGGAAATAAATGATACGAAGCAGGTGGTTACGCAAAAGAACGTGAGCGCTAGTGACGTGCATCCCAAGTGCGAAGTGACCATTTCCATGGACGACTTTTTGTGGATTTACTCGGGAAAGGCGACCAGCTCCGATTTGATTAAGCTTTTCTACGCTGGACGCGTAGCCATCAGTGGATACGCATTCAGATCAGTGTCAAAGTTTGCCCAGAGCTTTGATTTCTCGTCCGAAAAGTGGCAAAGCTTTTATGCCTGGCGGAAGATGCAGAATGAGAAGAACGATTGCAATCGATCGCCGGGTGTGTTAGAGAAGGTGAAGAATATTGGCTCAATGTCGAGCGATTACTGGTATAGCCATGTCAGGACTATATTAGACGGCTACAACTGGACCGGACTGCAACGTATGCTGTGGGAGACGTCGCTGACAAATTTGTTTGGAGTAAAGGTTGTTTTGGATAGTATGCGGCATACACCAGTCCGTAACAAGAAAGACAACTTTGACAGATTCACCGATATTGCAAATGTTGTTGGTGGTGGATCTGTGTCGGCGGTATTGAAACGACGCGCGACAGGCGCAATCACACCAGGTCAGCTTCACTACGAGCGAAAAATGCGCGCAGAGCTAAAGCGCTTTTTGTGCCCTTGTGCTAAACAGTCGGCTGCGGTTGTCGAGTCGCTTGCGCTGGACAATTCTAAGCAGACGGCGCGTGTCATGTTTGACTTTTTCGACGAGGACTACGTTGTGGATGTGAAGCGCAGTGCGAGAGAGCGTCAGCAGCGTCGCCACCACCGCAATCGCGTTGATCTAGGTGATGCCGGTATGGCGCAACTGGACAAGCTCGTCCAGGTAATTGGGAAGGGTGGTCATTCAAATTTGAAGCGAGATAATCGGTCCAAGTACGTGCCGGCACCCGAGCTTCTCCTGCGTGAGTTTCGTATCAACGTGACTGTACTTATGGACATTCTGAAGGAGAAAGCATCAGGTCGCAAGTCCCTCCACAAGATCCCTGCGCCGCAAATGGAGTGGCTAGTGCGCAATGGGCATACGGGTAACATGATGATTACGGAGAGCAACAGCAAGATGGCGACTGTCCCGTCTCTTTATTCGTCTGCACTGCCGAGCTTGCCTCAAAGTATAATAGTGGAAGTGGATCGCGCTAAGATCGCACGGAATCGAAAACGCTTTGACATACCCAAGCAGCGTATGAAGGCCAAGTTTGCGAAGATTTCCCGCGAGTTGTCTAATCAACGGAATCCCGCTATGAGTAATATGGACGATTACTTGTTATTGTCCGACTACCTGTAACAAAATCTCTGAAGCTTTTTGTAAGTCAAGAGTTGTCTATTCAAACTAGGCGTAATTAATTAGCTAGACACGCCTTCGTAAATTTCCTATTTTTTATAATTAACGCAATATTTACGCTTTAATTTCGCATTCTTATTGAAAAACTTACAGTAATTTCTACAAACGTCTGAGCCAGTCAAAAGGACATACATGGGAAACTTGGATGACCACACGCCTGATGAGATCTACTGCGATAATCAGGTGTTTGATATTGATTTTCACCCATTGACAGCTATTGTTGCTGTAGGATGCATTGATGGTATCGTACAAGTGTAAGAGCTACTGCTAACGTTGCTTGATAATTGCTCATACTGAGAGTTTTGCATTGTGTTTCTATAGTTACAAGTACTCGGAGGAAGCTAATTCAAAAATTCTAGAGCTTAAAAAAACATCAGGAAGCCGTGCGAGCTCTACTGTTTTCTCCTGATGGACAAAGTAGGAAGAATTGTCGAATGTTGTTCATCATTATGCTGATGCTTTCATTGAGTTTCTGTAGCTCTCTACACAGCGTCGGCGGACAAGTCGATTCGTGCCTTCGATACGCTTGGAAACCCAACGTGGGCCGAGATGCGAGCGCACGAGTAAGAATAATATAGTAAATTATTGTGACGGTAGAAGACCAATGCTCGTATGTTGCGTGTTGTAGCCACCCGGTGAACCGTCTCCATGAGCTGTCAGCAAATGTGTTTGTGAGCGGTGACGACCAAGGTTGCATTAAAATCTGGGACACAAGGCAGCATCGTTGTCTGGCAGAATTCAAAGAGCACACGGTACACTCTCGTTTTTTCCTTGCTGGACTTGCAATTAATCTCGAGTATTTAACGGCTGCTTGAGGTTCTTGTAGGATTACATTTCTGGGTTTGCAACGAACCCTGCGCAGGACCATTTACTTGCGACGAGTGGAGACGGACGTTTGACCGCTTATGACTTGCGTAAAAATGTCCTCGCAGGCAAAAGTGACGAGCTCGATGATGAACTGCTATCCGTCGCAGTGATCAAGAACGGTCGAAAAATTGTGTGCGGCTCGCAAGATGGCGTGCTGGTGATTTTCAGCTGGGGCACATGGGGAGATATGTCTGACCGCTTTCCTGGTCACCCAGACTCTGTTGAATCTTTACTCAAGGTGGATGAAGACACCGTGCTTACGGGATCAAGTGATGGCATCCTTCGGTATGTTTGGTAGCTGGTCTGAGTTCAGAGTTTCTACTATCGGAAAAAAACTATTGCTAACATCGTTCGTTATACCTTGTATGGCGTTGTAGAGTAGTGCAGATTCATCCAAACAAACTCTTGGGACTGATTGGCGATCACGAATATTTCCCTGTGGAAAACCTGAAGTTTTCGTATGACAAAAAACTTATTGGTAGCGTTTCGCACACCAACAAGGTGCACTTTTGGGAGGTCGGATATCTTTTTGAGGAAGATGATGGCGAGGAAAGTGACGCAGCGGACGAAAATGAGGAAAATACCGTTGCTAGCATTTCCATGGATACTGAAATGCAGGATGCCGATAGTGACAGTGACAGCGATAGGTCGGATATGGCGAGCAACTCGGGTGGAAATTGCCGAGCTTTCCCTACAGCAAACGAGCAGTTCTTTTCGGACTTGTAGATATCTGTATTGGGTAAGAGTATTTTGCAAGTCGTAATGTGAATCTCGTTCAAATTATCAATGGACGCTTCATTATGACTGCTCAGTACAAGTTGAAAGTCATTTCATGGAGTGCCGTATTCTAAGCTCCAAGTGTCTGAGCTCTTGACAGTGCTGCAGATAGCTTTGGACAAGATGGTCGTGCAAGTAAATGTCATTTTACAGGAACATGTGCACATTGCAATGCTCAATTTTTGGTTGTCGTGAAATACCAATCCACATGCTGCAGAGCACTTTTTTTTGAGAATTTTAAGGACCATGAAGCTTAAGTGACCACGGCACTGACCGCCACTGTACACGAAAATAATGTCACAGTTGTTGCTATATTGTCCGATGCTGCTCTTGTCGTTCTGGCTCTCCTAGTACCAAAAACGGTGTCGGTCAGTTCGTTCAGCGTCACAAGTTAGCACGCAGTAACACTCGTACAAAGGACGTCCGATTGGATTGTTCTAGAGGCAGCCGTGTGTATTTGGGGCACGGAATTGTCAGCGAAACCAGCAAGTCATCCCACGTGTAGAAAGAAATGGCGAACGCAAACGAATTCAAGAGCGTACAGCACCATAGTGACCGCAGAGCCTAATACACAGAGCAATGATTATTTTAGCACACTCAGTCTGCCACCTCCTTTTTAATTGACGCAAACCAGCGAGATTTCGAAACAAGCCTGTAACCACACCAGGCTGCAAGGTTTGCACCATTTGCTGCTATTTTGTCAGGCCACACCAGGCGAGCAAGGGATTACAAGAACGAGCTGGTGGAAACACGCTTCGCTGTTGGTTCGTCCGCATTGTATTCGTAGAATCCTCCAAAGAGTGGCAATGTAGTATAGGAATCAAAACGTCAGTGTTGCGGACTAGACAAGTCTTCTCTCTTCGTCTACAAAGCAGCAGCTGCTTCACTCTATGAGATCATTCCTCTTTACACAGTTCTAGTATTACAGAGTCCAGTACACACACTTGGCAAACACTTTGTGCAGCCTTTTCACACTCATTCTGCAACAACAACCATCACGTCATTCGTCCCAAAATTGCAGCGCAACCGTGATCTCGTGCGTTATGATACTACTCGTGACAATGTAACTTTAACTCCAGCGCATGAGTCGTTGCATTATCTCTCCCAACTCCCTTCACATCCGATTCTGTTATTTTTTTAGCAAATACTGCATGGTAGTATCTCTAAGCTTGCGCTTCAGTGACTAAGCTCATACGTTCACAAGTTGCGGTCTCGCGTGATGAATACTCAAGTAGTAAGACCCAATACATCATCTATATGATTCGATCATTCTCCAGCGCCAAAAGAAAGACAAAACAGGGTCAATCTATAACTTGATGTTGCATAAACTTGATTGTCAGTTACCATGACCTTTGTTTGCTTGATATAATGTCTGGGATCTGTCCTTTTCATTGTGTAGTTACTACACGTCGCTTCGTCTTGCATGAGTGTATACATTTTGTATTTGATACCAGTCATAGATTCCCCAAGCAGCAACAAGTTGATGATGCGGTGCTGTCTGTTCCACGTGGTAAGATAGGGCACGCCATGGCGATTACACGAACGCTTGTCATTTCATACCTTTCTATGAACAAGATACGGTACATGTAACCTGTACAACTTATTTGTCTGCACCAAGCTCAACTTCCACATGCGTCAGGTTATCTCTCCTTCTCTACATTTCTCTCTACTCTCGCCAGGGTCCATTAAGCGGCGCGCTGAAGGCCGTTCAGACTGCACGATCCTGTGCACATTGGCAAAGGAGGTACAGGTCTGGGGCCAGTCGACGGCGGTGTCCAGCGTGGTTTCTAGCTTGATCCCTTGGATGTCTTTCTTGTCAACAGTGTCCAGGGAGGGTCCTTGTTGCTTGCACCGTGAACAAAGAATGACACGAGCGTACCTAAGCGGAGATGCCGGGACTTCGGGGCTGGCGGCGTACATCGTGGCGGCTTGGCTGGCGGCGTACATCGTGGCGGCTTGGCTGGCGGCGTACATCGTGGCGGCTTGGCTGGCGGCTTACATCGTGGCGGCTTGGCTGGCGGCTGGGGGGAGAGCGACAAGATAGAGGTGTGTAAAGGGAGAGGAAAACCCGTCCAAAACTAACGGATGCCGCAAAGCACCCGTCGGAGGCCTGAGCTAGCATCAGCTAGGCCAAGCCTTTCGGGACGGCGTTACCAGGATTTTAAAGTTATTGAATAAACAATTTTCCCAACCCGACTCGGATGCAGCTTGAGTGTTTACCGCATCAAATACTGAGCGAGTATACAGTGCTTATAACTTTGCATGCATTACTCGGATATGCGATTGACAAGATTTATGTTTCAGACCAACAAGCATTGCAAAAGACCATATGCACGGAATGTAGGCAAAATATGATGGGATCAAATCACAACAGACTTGAGGTATAGACGAGGTGTATCCCTTAATAGAATGTAGCAGGAGTCAGACGGATGGTAACAACGGGATGCCTGATCTTGATACGTCCAAAAGTAGAAGAACTGTAGTCTGTAATAAACGAATAGTGCGAGAACAAAAAGGCCAAGTGATACAACCGCTGAACGGATATTTACTATATAGAACAACATGCACTAACGCAGACATGAACTAATATCGACACACAGTCTCAAATCTTGAAGAGTCCCGGCCAGCAGTTCCAAGGTTGCGCTACAAGTGCTTCGCGACTTTTAACACCACTTGGAATCCCGAAATTATCAGCAATAATCACGGAAAAAATCTAGATGGAAGCTATACAAAAGAAGACATTGACGACACTCCTTCGTGCCGGCGATAAAGATGAGCAACAGCAGCGTCTGGCATTTCATAAGTCCACCTGTTCGCGTATCGTGGCGTTCAGCTCGACAAAGGCGAATTACGTGGCGTTACCGAGTAGATACTTTGGACCCCGTTGTGATGAAGGAACAATGCATTGTTTTGGTACTATTCATGGTCAATTCCTTTGATGATGAAAGTACCTTGGTACACACAAAGTATAGCAATGTAGAACAGACTGCAAGGAGTCAACATTACCAAATGGACGATATTTTGGTCAGCGTGACTTTGGCTTCAAGCCTTTCGTTAAGACAAAGAAGACAGTGGGATATCCATTTCATACTGAAATCATTTTACAATTCACCCGTCACGTTGCGACAGAACTAAAAGCTGGACGTTTCGCACGCATGATACAATTAAGATTGAATAGAGCCGATTAAGTTGGTTGAAGTCTTTCCAAAATATTCATGTCAACAGCATTGGCTGGACGTATCACTTGTGTTGTAGGTTGTAAAGTCGTCAGACTGGTGGTGGGAAAATCCTTATTTTCTCGGCTGTGTCGTGCCGTGTTTAGACAGCGTTGATCACACTGGCGGGAAGGTATTGCAGATCAATGTGGTACCAGTGGGAGTACGTTTAAATTGCTAATTGTTCTACGTATGAAGGTGACGCTGACCTCCTTCAATTCGTTCATACGGCCCATAAAACTGGGTCACGCATTGCAAGTTGTCTTGCTATGTCACAAACGTTCCAGTGTCTCTTTTCTCACTTCCGAGGAGCTGCAAAAACGTGGAATAAGCTGTTGTGGCCAAATCGTACGTGCTATCTAGCGTCAGCGCTAGGTTATGTTCATGAACAGCGAGCGCATCTGTTTGGCTTATGGTTGTCGTGTGAAAACCGAATGTTTTGACGTCTTGCAATCTCGACCCGCGGTGTGACAGCGTAACGACAGATCTTCATTTTTCGCATTCAAGCTGTCACGGTTTGCGCAACGTAACGGCTGTTCGCGTAGTTCGTTTTCTGTTAACTGATTACACTTTGAGTTTTGCAACCCGTCAGAAACCTCATTTTATGGTTGAAATGAAATCAATTGGTTTTGCTTCCAAAAAATCAAGTTGGACTGTAACATTGCTTAGCCTACAGTTAAACGTTAAAGTGGTATTCAAGTACACTAGTGGTGACAACTAGATGGTACGTTATCCACTCTTAAAGGCACGTGCGCGTCTTCTACTTCAAATACCGTGACAGGTTGTAATCATCTTGATACAGTTAGATCGAGCTACAGAGAAAACACATGGGCCATTAGACTAGTATGTGTTTTCATTATATAAACTAATGATTGTGGCTCCGTTATGACTCAAATGAAGCCATGTCGACTAGATGATCCGTGTCTGAAATGTAGTGATGGCAAAAAGCGATGGCTCAACCCATGCTGGGCGTTGAGCTCAAATGGAGTGCACCAGGAGGCGTCCTAATCATAGACTCTCTGCCGTGTCGCCATCGATTTCCGACAGCTGTGAGCCTGATGGCAGCCGCCATAGTGAGATCATGTCAACACCGGGAAGACGCACTGACAACTTGACTGCGTTGTCGCGAATGGGTCTGATTCGACGACGATGACTGTGACATACTAAACTTGCTGTCTAGATTAAATGTTCCGATGCTGTAATTATCTATAATTGGCAAATTTAAGTTTATTAGTCAACAGCCTTCGAAACAGCCTTTGAAACAGCCCTTGAAACAGCAAGAACTGAGCCCTAAGCTCTGATTCCTTTAATAGATAATAGTTTAATTGATGTTGTCAACCTCTTAAAAATACAGGTTTTTTTTAACAGGGGTCGGGTAGTAAAAAATCCGTCCAGCTGGGTTGCGCGGGAGAATTCTTCCGTCAGTCCGAGTCTGTCACTCGCTTGCATTGTCAGGTTCGAGGAGTCAACGCAGTTTCGCGTTTGACGTCCACCTCCACCTCTGCGACATCAGCCAAGCAAAGTCCACGCTTTTCTTTCCCTCTCTCTCTACAAAGCTGCTGCCGCACCCAAAGATTCACGTGGCCAGTGCAAGGAAGCAGCATCGTATTGGAAGGCCAGATAGTTCCACCTCCCACCCGAACATGATGACGGCCCAGCAGCAGAGTGCGGACCAAGTCAAGACGTACACATATCCACACAGAACACCTGGAGTCAACGTTGCTTCTTCTTCTGGAGCTTCAGACGTCGCTGAACATACTGCTGTAATGTCTGGTGGCAACTCTGCATCCACAAACAGCACGACGTCGCTTCCCATCGCAGACAGGAAACGCAAGCACCCCTCAAGTCCTACTGATAATCGTATCGTTGCCAATGGAAGCGTCGACACGCCAAACGAAGAGCCATCCAAAAAGTCCCGCCGTGAGCTGCCACCGCACACTGTTGCCATCCTTAAGGGTTGGATGCTCTCTCGTGAGCATGTGAAGCACCCGTACCCGACAGACGAGGTAATGATGAAGAAAGCACAAATAGTGGACTCTTACTTTAGATGTTCTTTAGCGTCTAATTTGTGTTATGACGTTGTATGACACTGCTAGGACAAACAAATGCTGCTAAAGAAGACAGGCATTAGCATGAAGCAGCTTACGAACTGGTTCACGAACGCACGCAAGCGCATCTGGAAACCCATGATGCGACGCGAACATTCGCGCCAGATGCAGTCCGCCATGGAGTTTGATCATACAACGATGCGCGAGTTTCCCGGTGCTGGACGTAGTCAGCAGTATGCGGAGAGTAGTTATGCTCCTCGTTCGTCGGTTCGGCACTCATTCGACGCTGGAAGCCTGGGTGCGCCTCTTCACGCGGCAGCAGGTACTTTCGACAGGTATGCACGACCGCAGGCCGTCCCCGTAAATGCATCAATGTACCCGACACGTGTCGTGCGCTCCATGTCGGAGGCTCCAGCCCCAAGGCCCGATGTTGACGATTATTTGGATGCTGAACGGATTCGAGAGCGCGTGTTAAAGCGCGGGCACGACGGGCATGGTCCGCGCAATAGTTTGTCACCTCCTGGGCATACGATATTGCAGGAGCGGGTAAATGGGAACGCGCGACACGAATATCCGTATCCGAGCGATTGTGATCGATTGCAGCTTGTAAGAGACACGGGGCTTGATGTATCACATGGAGATGGGTGGGTTACGAGTCTTTGTGAACAGACGGGTTGCCCCTCTGTCCATGCTGCTTCCATTCCATCTGCTGGAAACCCGATGTTTCCACCCCATCCTGCGTACGGGGAGCGCCGATCTATTCCGTCCCGCGGCAATCCTATGTTTCCTCCGCGACCAACCGCTTCCAGCTCGTTTCGAGCATCTGTTCCTTCTGTTGGAAATTCGCAGTTTTCTCCGCCCCCTGCGCGTCGTGAAGCAAGCGACAGCCGTTTCGCAGGGTTTCTGTCGACTGTTTCGCGCTATCTAGGTCACGAAGTGACACGAATGCGCTCAATGACGGTCAGCTCCAGTCCATATTTGCCTCCGCCTTCCAGCTCAGCAGGCAACGACGCTCAAGCCGTGAATGCTGCTGGTGCTTTGCCGTCGCTGTCTAGTCGGAGTTTGTTTAGCCGACCACCACCCATTGTCATTTCCGGTGGTGCTACAATGGGACAGCCACGTGACAGTCGATCGCGTACGCTCGACATGGGTCAGTTTGCCGAAGCGAGACGGCGAAAAATGAATTTTCAGGACATTTTGGCGTCAACGGGCGGGCCTGCCGTTAGTGCCGGAATAGCAGCAGCCACATCCAGCGCGTTGTTGCAGTCGACTATTTTTTCCGCTACCAATGGTAATATGGAAAACCTATACCAAACTAGCGATACGTCGGCGACCGCAGTGTACCCAGCCTCCGCATCGAGGGTCTTCCAGCAAAAGTTCTCGTCAGTGCAGTCTGATCAGCATTCTGGTCGAATAGTATGATGATGCATTGATTCGTTAGTCTGAGCCTGTGGGGGGGCTCCTTCCTCAGCCTCACTTTAGTAGTTTGTCGCGTTTTCTATAAAGAAGACGCTAAGCGCCTTGGTTGATAGAGCTCTTTTTGTTTAAGCGAAGTCCTTCCAAATCTGCCCAAAGATCTAAGCTGCATTGTTCCTGCAGGTCGTCAAGCTGTTTGTGTTTGATCCGGAAGTAAACTTGGTAGCGAATGTCTGGAGAGAAGTTAAGACCACCGCGGGTCGGGGTGTGCCAGCACCAAATCGCCGCGTGCAGCGAGGAGCTGTATAGGTGTGCCCATGTCGGGAAGTCTGCCATCTCCCCATACGCTATCTGCTTTGTACGCCTCACCGTCATAACCATGCAGCTTTCCATCGGCAGCTAGACGGCCTTGAAGTGATAGGTGCGACCCCGAAAAAACAGTCAAATTACCGCACAACGGCTCCGATACGTTTGAGAGAGCAATGCCCGCCAGTAAAGTAAACGGGTGCAGTCGACCCTGCCGCATACCGTCTGTATGCCATTCTGTTCCTAGAGGTTCCCTTGGCTCCCCAAGTTCAGGAAATCGTAAAGCGATCTGTGCTCCCTGAGGCGGCACCACTTGGCCAGCACCGACGAGAGCTTCCACGTACTTTGACACATCCGAGAGGTAGTAGAGATTCAGAATAGCGTCGCTGTTGGACGTGTTTCCTGCCAGCTTGATGTTTCCTTCCACTCCGCCATCGATCATGTTTCCAGGAATGCCGAGGTCATGGTTGATCCGACGCAGCGCAGTGTTAGCCAGAGTCAGTGCAACGGCTCCTCGGATCTGCAGATATCCATTTTGCATGAACGATAGTCGTTGAGACTCGCTCAATATCGATGAGTGTGTGGACTGTGACATCAATGAGCGTGTAGTATCTAGCAAAAAAGCTGCGCGGGACGATACGACTACCAAGCTGAACAAACTGCTATCTCCTTTTCCTTCGTCACCAATAAGTCGTGATCCCGCCACCCCCAGATACCATCCTGTTAATTGCAAACGATTGACTTTCTTTTGATGCGCGACTGACTTAAAATGTACGAGACATCTTGTGTCTGTTGTTTCTTCAGCAGCTCCAAATTCAATTTCGAAGGTAGCAAGCTTTGTCCCCGTCACTGCCCATGTCACTTGGCCATTTAGTGCTACTTTTAGTTTCTCGTAAGGCTTCTCTGTGCTACACAAGCTCAGTGTTAATGGTCCAGAAGAAAAAGAACCACGTTCCACTAGTGACTGGAATGAGTAGCTGCTGGACACATGTGTGGCCTGAATGACAGCTCCAGTCTCTAATACAGCACTTAACATGGTTGTTGTCAATCAAATGGGAGACTTAAGAAAGTGATCAATTGTATTGAAAATAACTCTACCAACTATTGGAATGGCTGAAATTTTGCTTTGAAATGTACATATTTTGTTAGGAGAGTATCTCATGATCGTCGAATCAGATTGACCGCATGGTACAAAGCTGCAAATTGACGCGCATTGTATTCTCTACAATGAACCGTCAACAAAGATCCCAACGTATCTGTCTGTAGCTCTTATCAATACACTTGCTTGTTATCAGCACTCTCGTGTTTTCATCTGCACATATTTGATCGCTTCTACTCCAATCAATCTTCTGCGTCTTCTTTTCCTGCTGCTGCAACTCAGTCGTATTGTTCAGTCTAGTTACAAGGCATAGTGCACGTCCTGCCATGCTTAACCAGCCTACACGTCGTAGTATTATTGACTTGGATCCAAACCAGCACCTCTTCGAACGTCTCACCATGCGGAAATTCTTAGTTTTCAGCAGCTATCTTCAGCAATAGCTTCACTCACTTGTCAACATACGTAGCTACACTGTTTCCAATACAACAATAGGAAGAATCAGAGGTATCACGTACAGACGCATACCGACCCCAAAAGCCTTGCCAGGTTGTAGCTCTGCCATGACCAATCCGAAATTTGATGGTAATTGGCGGGTAATTTGAAGGTAAAGTTTTCGCTGCTTAAATAGCATGTGGATTGGACCAAAAAACAATTGAAAAGCCAATAATGACACGCAACACGTCGCAGCGAGAAACTGCTGATCTACAGCCGCTTCTTGACTACTCTGATAGTAATGAGACGTTTCAAAATGATTTTGTTGTGCGCAGAAGAATAAGAAGGAAGACTGCAATTTGGATGGTGGGGGTGGGCGTTGTCGCTGTCTTGCTGCTGATTGTCCACATCTTGTTCGTGGCTCGATTAAGAAAGACGACAGTGACACTGGAACAGGTGACCCTGCCAGACTTGTGTCATTGCAGAACGATGGGTGATGTCGTCATGAAGTTTGAGAATCCATCGTATTGCTCACCTGTAGTTGGGCCACTGAACATCACATTTACAACGAAGAACATGGCTTTCCTGCATATTCATGTTGCTTCGTTTGAGCTTCAATCAGGCATTACAACGATAATGTTATCGTTGGATTTTGATTTATTGACGTCTCCAGAAACACTTTATAGCCTAGTGTTTGTTGATGGAAAAAATATTGACGTTCATGGACAAGTTCCTGTTCTGATATCGTGCATGTTGGTCCCGTTCACAATTCATTTGGACGTCTCAAACCTTCTGAGAGCGACCCCGCAGCCACCTGTTGATACGTTCTTCCCAATGAGAGGGGATAATGCATTAGGCTTGCCTTTGTATCGTGCCGACGCATGGAAATCAGGTATTGTGAACGGAATCATGACTGAGTTGGAGCATGTCGTGAAGCAGGTGCTAAAGACTATTGCACTTTCACATTTTCACACGAAGACAAATGATCAAGAGATTTTTGCTTTCACCGACGTGTCGCTCGAGTATGCGTCAATGGTGCTCTGGAATATTCCCTCGCTTTCAGTAAAAGTCGAATCTGTAGAGAGACAAACCATTCTCGTGGCAGGAATCAAGCGATTTCTCTTGGGGAATGGCAAGACGTTTATTTATGCCTATACAGATGTCTTGAAGAATCAATCGGAGCCACTTCAGTCGATGTTGCAATCGTACTTGGCAGGAAATGACGTTGCGCTCCATGTAAGCGGAAGCAATCGAGATACTGATTGCTACTCGTTGCAAGTGCTCGACCACGTAGACGTTAAGATTAATATCCCCGCCATGATAGACAACAAGCCGGCGCTGATTCGTGAGTACTCTATTCAGCCAGTGCTGAAGGAGCTGGATTCGAAGACGCACAAGTGTTTATTGGAGATAAAGGTGTATTTTAAGATCAACAATCCGCTGCCCATTCGCTTTGACTTCTACGGGATTGAACTGGATCTATTGTACGAGAAGGTGTTGTTAGAAGACAGCTGCAAGCCAAAATTTCTTCATCATGTCAAGTACATTGAGCACGTGTCGTGGGCGCCACACGAAGAGAATAGCATCGTGCTGAGTACAGCGATTCATGGATTCGATACTTGCATGGAAGTGGTAGATTTTTTTCTTCACAATCAGCTGGCGTTTGACATACAGCATGGTTGCATTTCCATGGGTGCTGGTAATGGAAACTTTAGTATTCCATTTTCAACCAAGGGTATACGCATCCATCCCATTTGGTCCAATACGTCGTCAGTCGTTGCCAAGTCTGAGTCTTAGCAACTTAGGTCCTTCGTGCAACATACTACTTTATTAACGAATGCTTATCGTCTATTTTAATTCTACCAAATGGGCGCCTCGTTCTCACGCTTCTTGTGTCTTGCCGTGGGCGTCGCGTACCCGACGTACGCAAGCTTTAAGGTTATGGAACGACCTGGCAGCGGCTACAGTAACAAGCAGTGGCTTACTTACTGGGTCGTCTACGGTGCTACGACGTCCGTAGAGTCTATCGTGTCACCTCTCATGTGTCTCGTGCCTGGTTACAACTTCACCAAGGCATTGTTTCTCATCTGGCTGATGTCTCCGCAGACAAAGGTACTTACTATTGATTATGTGACCATATAGGATATTTTGAATTGATCAAATTGTTTGTCTATAGGGTGCAACGATTGTGTACGACAAGGTGTTATGTCCTTTTCTGAAAGAGAAAGAGCCGTTCGTGGATCTTAAGCTGAAAGAAGCTCAGGAAGCTGGAGAGAGTGTTTTATCTGCTTTTCTACAGACAATAGCAGATCAAGTTGTTGCTATTCAGAAGAGTGATGAGTTTAAGCACATTTGCATGGCAATCAGGAGGCTAGCGTCGTCGGATTCGGCCAAGAAGACAAGGAAGAAAAGTACCGATAAGAGCAAGCAGTCGGCCAAAGAAGAATAATTGACTAATACATGATGTGGGTGCACGAGTAGGTGTTATGCATTGGCAGACTTCATACATAGCCAGAGAGAAGACGCGTCTCTGGCTGCACCACCCGATCGACAACTTTTGCTGCTATCTCCTTCCACAACTGCCTATCCTTTCCTGATTTTGTCATGCTTGTCTAAACTGCGTGCAGACTAATAGTGGTGCACATACTTAAAGTCTTCGCGTGAATTCACCTTATCGATGTATGAGTGTGCCTTAAAGTGTTCAGCCTGGATCAGCTCTGCCAGCATGGGCGCAACCGAAAGACGTTTGAGCTTGTTGGTATGGAAAGCCTTCGGATCCGCCGGAATTGTGTCCATAACAACCACTTGTGACACATTCGAGTCCTCGATCAAACGCTCGGCATCACCGTTCAGCAGCGGGTGCGACGCGAAACAATAAACCTTACGGGCACCTCTGCTCAGTGCAAGGTTTGTGAGCTTGGACAGCGTCTCGCTCGTGTCAATCAGATCGTCCACGACAATCACGTCGGCACCCTTAACGTCGCCCACAATATCTGCGTGGGACTGCTCGGTCGTCTCCTTCTTGCCAGTACCATGGAAGAACACAGCGAACTGCGCAGGCGAGTCCGGTAGCCATTTGTTGAGGCCCGTCTGGAATATACGTGCACGACGTAAGCACTCTGGATTCGGTGCCATTACTACGAGTGGGCGACGTAGATACACCTGCGTAGCAAAGTACTCTACACCAGCCATAATAGTTTCAATGGTCTCTACAGGTATGTCCGAACTGAAGAAGCATGCCTCGTGGCCCTCCACACGCATCTGCATGTCCACGGCAATAACACGGTCGACGCCCATAACCTCCAGCATCTTGGCAATGTCAGCAGCAGGGCTTTGGATAAACTTCGAGTTCAAACTAGTCGCTGCCGGATTGGCACGACGATGGTGCTTGTACGCGTAGTACCTGTACAACCACAAACCACATCGTTAGCTCCTTGTTCTTTCCAGAGCTGCAATCTCTCTTTACAATGGAGCACTTACGGCAGCACAACGGTCACCTTCTTGGCACTAGCACGACGCATAGTACTGACCATCAGCAGCAGCTCAATGATGTTATCATTCACAGGACTAGCCAGACTCTGCACCAAATACACGTCCTTGCCACGCACGCTCTCACCCACCTGCACCTGCACCTCACCGTCTGCAAAGCGACCTAATGTAATCTTGCCCACGCGTGTGCCCAGTCTTCGTGCAATGTCGTCAGCGAGCTCAAAGTGTGACGAGCCCGAGAAGATTTTAAGCTCATGGCAGCCAGGAATAAACATACCTGCGTGTGTACACGGATGTTTATCGGATGGAAAGAAAGGTGAGAACGGGTCCACGCGTTTGCGGTCGTGCGGGACGCCAAACTCTAGATCACGCAAGTCACACTTTTCCTCACTGTAAGCGACGCTCGATTGTGTCATACCGAGTGTCGCACCACCAAGAAATACGGCAAGACTCGGAGTCAGTCGCGCAACGGCAGAGCGAAAGGCAGACACCATATTAATGGACTGTCACAAGACGACGGACTGCAATAGGATGAATGGAGGATAAGTGAAAACTCTTGTATCGCAAGGTTTTTTCCTTTACTTTTCCGACATGTGAGATTTTGGCATCGACTGATTTGTTAATAAACGTACCTTAACATAAAGACCGATGGTTCGATTCAATTGATCAAGGGTAACAAGTTGAAGCTATTGGTAATGATAAACTGCATTTTTTACTGCCTTATCAATAGCGAACTACATGAAGACTAGGAACAGTATCTTAGCATTGTTATCTCTTGCTGTCAGTGCATGTAGTAGTTTCCTAGAAACGAGTCATCAATCCTTCTTGTGCAAGCTCTGTTCCAGAAGCTCAGCAAGAATCTCATTCAAGCCACCGAGGATGGTACGACCGTCTTCCACAAGACCAGCAGCTACGGTTGCATTGGTGTAAACCTGTTGCGGTAATAGACGAAATACACTCAGATTAGCTGAATAGTTGAAGCAAATTGATCCAACAGCTTGACGAACCTGGCGGGCCACTTTCTTGGCGAGACCATCGTTCACTTCGCGAAGTGCGTTCAAGTCCACAATAATGCTGTGGTTCGGATTAATCTCCATCACATTCTTGGAAAGACCATTTTGGTCCTGACCAGCGCGATCATTCACCATCTGCATCATCCTGCAAAAGGAAGTTACACATCTCCGTCAACACATACAACAATTCTCATCTATATCGCAGCTATGACGTACTTGCGAATGGAAGCAGATTCGTGGTCCACGATAATTGCTGGTGAGTCCGTTAGGCGAGAAGTGAACTGCAATCGACATGCACAACTAGTCAGCAATAATGAACGTTGGTCATGAAACATACATGCCAGTAACGCACCCTGACTTCCTTTACGCTATCCTCCAGCGCCAGCTTCAGCCAAGCTCCAAAGAGGTCCTGCTCATCCTTTGACAGCTTCTTTTCAAAGGCATTGTCGGCGGTGCCGTCAATGTCTACCTTCGCGTGCTCGGCTGAAATCACCTTGCGTCCGTTGAATTCGGCAACGTTTGTCATCACAAAGTCGTCAATGGGACTATAGACGAACAGCACCTCTTTGTTCATTTTTCTAATACAGCAATAGCAAGCAGATTCATCAACAAAACGACAAAATGATAGGAAGAAACACAAGACGGGCGCACTTACTTAAATGCCTCAAAGTATGGCGACGACTCGGCGATTTTTCGCGTAGGCGCGCACAAGTAGTAGATCTCATTCTGGTCCGGTGGACACCGCGACACATACTCGTCCAGGGTCGTCAACTTGCCTTCATCCACTTGACTAGATTCGTAGCGTAGCAGCTTTGCCAAGGCGTCTTTGTTCGCGAAATCTGTGCAGATGCCTTCCTTAATGAATTGGCCGAACTCTACAAAAAACTTTTCAAACTTTTCTGGGTCCTTTGTCGCCTAATATTATACAAAATAATGTCGTTGAAACAATTACGTTAGTCAAGAGCAATACAACCTTGAACGACAAGTAGCACAAGATGCATCGAACCTCACGCTCCAAGAAACGAACAATTCTTCGCGTTAAAACGTCACGAATCTTATGAATCAAGCGGCTGTCCTGCATCTTTTCACGCGATAGGCTGAGCGGAAGATCCTCGCTGTCAACGACACCACGCACGAAACGCATCCAGTCAGGAAGAATGTCGGGCGAGTTACGCTCAATAAGAACCTTTCGTGAGTAAAGGCTCACACCCGGCTCCAGGCGAGCGTAGCCAAACTTCTCCGTGTGAGAAGAACCGATAAAGAAAAGAGTCTTCAGCTCAATCGGAGCATCCGCTTTGAAGATTAGGCGGAACACTGGTTCGTCAAACGCGTTAGCGATAAACTTGTAAAATTCGGTATATTCCTCGTCAGTAACATCACTCTCGCTCTTCGTCCAAAGCGCTTGGACCGTGTTGACCGCAGTGCCATCCAATACAATTGGGAATGACACAAAATTCGAATAGCGCCGAATGATAGACTCCACCTTGGTCTTCGTGCCGAATTCCTTGCAGGAGTCCTTCAAGTGGATCACGATCTTGCTGCCACGCGTGACGTCGTTCGCCTCGGTGACCTCGTATGACCCGCTGCCGTCCGAGCGCCACAAATGACTCTGGCAATCGGATACCGCCGACTGCGAGAAGACCTCCACTTTGTCGGCAACCATAAAAGCGGAGTAGAAGCCAACGCCAAACTTCCCGATGATGCCGCTAAGCGCATCGCCCGACTCACCAGGCAAAGTTTCTTTCAACTGCTCCAAGAACACCTTAGATCCCGAGCGTGCAATCGTACCAAGATTGTTAATAAGCTCATCCTTTGACATACCCACACCCGTATCGGCAATGGTCAGCGTACCAGCCTTCTCGTCCGTGGTTATCACAATCTTTGGTTCCAACTCAGCATTCCTAATATCTGCTCCCGTCGACTGCAAGTGACGAAGCTTCTCAAGTGCATCAGACGCATTGGAGATAAGCTCACGAATGAACACATCCTTGTCCGTGTAGATAGAGTGTGTCACAATATCCAGAAGCTGACGGGTCTCAGCCTGGAACTCATGGCGATTAGCTACATCAATACAAAGTGCATCAAGGTTAGCTTCATTTCATACTGCAGCTTTTCTACTCCATTTTGTGCATTATAAAGGCGTTACCTTTGTCGTCCGATGCGGTGGTGCTAAAACAGGCGCTGAACTGCTGGACAGACAGCGGAAATTTGGTACTGCACTGCATCAATCGTGGTGTCAAGAGTGCTCCACGATGGTATATCGTGCGCTGCACAGCACGACGTCCATGTACAAAAGTTGAGCCACATGCGCGACGTGCTACACGCTGCACGGCGGATTGCATCGTATGATTGTCTCGTAGCCACAAAAGTATTTGTCAAATGAGACGTAAACGATAGTGTGAACACACCAAAATGAGGACATGCAAATTTACCGAGGCCTTATTTTGCTCTCTTATGTTGCTCAGAGCTGTATACTTTGCTGAAAGCTTTCATGCTGCAAAAGTAACGGGTGCATTCTTGAAGTTTATCATTCTCATTTCACAAATTTACAAATTATCAAAATGTGGAGTCGCCTTCGTGCTACTTCTGCATTTCTTGATACTGCGCGGTCATCCGTCTTTCGATGCCGGCAACGATCTCTTACGAGCACGCGTCGTGTGCCGTCCGAAGAGACAATTGCATTGCTTAAATCATTGCTTGGTAACCGCCTGTCGACTGCGTCATCTATTCTAGAGGTATGATGCGTCCGAGTACTAAAGCACCAAGCATTTTTCTTACGACAGTCTTGTTGTTTTCTCTTGACTAATCACGCTGTGCTTTGCTGTAACATTAGCAACATGGAACCGATGAGTCATACCACGCTGTAAGTCCTCCTGACGCTGTAGCTTTTGTACAGTCTACGAAGGAAGTTTCAGAGGTTGTTAAGATTTGCGCTGCTGCCGGCACGCCTGTCATCCCCTTCGGTGCAGGATCCTCTCTTGAAGGCCACATCTCCGCTACAGAAGGCGGTGTATCGATTAATCTTACAGGCATGAACAATATCTTAAGTGTCGAGCCGGAGAATATGAGCTGCAAGGTGCAAGCTGGTGTCACACGCGAGCAGCTTAACGTGGATTTACGTGCTACGGGCCTTATGTTTCCGGTGGACCCTGGTGCCAATGCAACCCTTGGTGGTATGATCTCAACTAATGCGTCGGGCACCACAACCGTGCGTTATGGCAACATGAAGACAAATGTCATGTCACTGAAGGTCGTCATGGCCGATGGACGCATCATCAAGACTGGCTCGAAGACACGCAAGTCGTCTGCTGGCTACGATCTCACTCGTCTACTTATTGGATCAGAAGGTACGCTTGGCATTGTCACCGAAGCTGAGCTGCGTCTTTTTGGGATTCCAGAGGCAGAGAAAACAATGATCTGTCAGTTTGACTCGATTCAGAATGCTGTCAACACGTGTGCAGCTGTGATGCAGATGGGCATTCCTGTGGCGCGCATGGAGTTGATGGACGAGAATGCCGTGGACGCTGTAAACAAGTATTCGAAGTTGGAGTCTCCCGTACGGCCGTCGCTTATTATTGAGCACCACGGTTCGCCTGGTGAGGTGGAAGAGCAGAGCTCGATTGTGGTCGAGATTGCCAACGATTTCGAGGCGAAGGACATTGAGCTCGCAACGAGCATAGAGGAGCGCAAGAAGTTGTGGAGTGGTCGTCACACCGCATGGTACGCTACACTGAGTCAAAAACCTGGCAGTCGTGGTTTGTCCACCGATGTCGCCGTGCCGTTTGACAAGCTGACGGAAGTCATCGTTGAGACACAGGCGGACTTGAAGGAATCCGGGTTGTATGGTGCGATTGTTGGACATGTTGGGGATGGAAACTTTCACGTCATGCTGCCGTTTCGCCAGGACGATGCGGAGCAGATGCAAAAAGTGCGCGACTTTTCCGACCGTCTGGTGCACCGTGCGATCGAGTGTGAGGGAACGTGCACGGGTGAACATGGCATCGGCAACGGCAAGATGAGTTATCTGTCCAACGAGCACAGCGACAGTGTGGATGTGATGCATGCAATTAAAAAGGCGTTGGACCCGAAGGATATTATGAACCCCGGCAAGATCTTTTATGGCAAGAAGAAGCACTAAATGGCTATATTGTATATGTGCCTTGGTACGAGGAGATATAGTGCTTTGTTGTTAAGCTAATGATTGGAAAGAAAGCGAAAGGCATATACAGTAGTAATTCTAATATATTGGATTACTGGTCAATCTACGAATTCAGAGATGTTTACCCTTTAGTTTTTGTTTACCTACAGTATATCCTGTCTCACTCTTCAATTTGCGACGCAGTGCGTGTGAAGCATAAAACGGACAGGACACGCAAGTGCGTGCCAGTAACCCCGCCTCCGATAGGGGTAAGTAGGGAACCCCCAGATAAAGGCGGTCCTACCGACCACCCTCCACGGATCCCAGCCGTCTCACTGCAGCAGCGGCAGTACCTGCGATCACTGCTTCAGAGTCGCCAACAACAGTCGACGCCGGCGCGGGGTCGCAAGGAAGTCGGAGCTGCTTTGGACGAAGGGACGGAGCTAGCCCGGACACACAGCGCGGGGGAAGATAGCGCCGGGGGCGGGGGTAGGCAAGCCAGGGAGGTTTTTTTCGGTGCCGGTTGAGGACGCGAGACTCGGAGGGGGACGAAGCCTGTTCGGCGGCTGATAAGCTAAAGGCGCTGGTGGATGATTTTCGCGTACCCCAAAGGAGAGGCACCAAGAAGCTTTAAAGGCAACTATTTAGGAATTGTTTGCGCTAGCGTACACCGGGCGCCTGTGAGAGTGAAAAGTGCGCCAGTTAACAAGGCCAAATACCCGAGGGTGTCGAGTGTCGAGGTCAATGGCCTCCTCTGTAACGCCGTTAGTCTTACACTATAAGGAAACTTGAGGAAGCGCTGTTCTTGTATAAGGTAAAATTAACTCTGTTTATACTTCTGTTTTGTTTTTAATTCGACTCAAAGTGGGTCGATTTACTATTGGCTAATAATTGGGTCTGGCAAATATAGCGCAACAGCAAATAACGAACAGTATCCGCTATTCGGATACCGCATATACCTACTTATTTATGTCAATATGTAATAAAACGTATAACTAGGTTGCCCAGTTACATCACCCTCCTCTTTACGTTGCGCTTACCTTGAGGTAAGCGCAATACGCAGAATTTTGTTCTCAACAAATAGTCACACGAGAAGTTCAACGTGTAGTCCAACATTGTGTCGTCTTTATTTCGAATCTGCTCAGTTGCACACAGTTGAGTAGCATGAACCTTGAGAGCTCACGCGTTGAGATGCCAACAATGATTGGGCCTATCAAGCGAAGATCCGAAGAGAGCGACCACCGCGAGTCATGGCTGAGGAATTGAAACCGTTATGTGCGCCGTGCCACCGCGGAAGGTATTCAGCAGTATGCTGAAGCGCTTAAAGCGCGTGAGAGTGACACAATTATAGTTCGCTTAGCGACAAGTACGCGTGTTACGGTACCCAAAGTCCCGATGGGGGCTTGTACAGCCTTGAAGGAGATGACGAGCCTGAATCGCTCGAGTCGATGAAAACCTCTTAACACGGTACCGCACCGTTCGAGGCAAAACGACGAATCATGCATACGCTAACGACGCGCTGCAACAGTCTTGGTGTGCCTTTATCAGACACTGGAACGCGAGCCGACGTGAAGGAACAACTGTGGTGGAGTGGGTACTCAAAACTGCGTAACGAGACTCCAAGTCACTCACTGTGCCGGACTGCCGACTGTCGGAGGGGGTACCCTGATGCCGCGTATAGACCTTCTCTCACCTTGTGTACCCGTCGGCTGGCGGGTTGCACTCTTCCGAGGACTTGGTTGAGATGTGGTGTCGGCCTTGAGAGAGGTCGACCTTAAGGTGCCTCGAGTGGATATACTTCAGCTCGGTAGGCTGGTAGGTGGCCACTCGGTCGACTAGGTCGAGGGTGGACTTACAACCAAATTCTTCAGGGGGGTATTCTCATCCCTGGCCTTTTCCTTCCTTGATGTCTCAGGGGTGTTAACCGCCTGGCCTTTACTTGCTCCCGGACCACTAGGGTAGGGAGAACAGCCCGCCGATAGCGCGTTGAGTTGGGGGGTGCTACTCAGACGAACCCACAGGACAAATGTATCTTGAGGCTCTATTTGCACTTGGGTCTTACCACAAAACTGTCTTCGACGAGGGGGGAGACAAGATGTATCTCTTCCGGAACAGGTGGGTAGACTTAGTAAGTTCCTTGTGAGCACGACGAAGGCGTGTTATATAGATCGCAAATTGAGTAGTATTTAATATGGTCCTATCTTTCTAACTCCTTTACTCTATCCTTACCCCCGAGACCTGATTCTTGATTCTGCTTGTCGAGGGACCGAGGGGTCGGGTGACCAAGGGGCCCTGTCACCGAGGGGCCGGGTGACCGAGGGACCCAAGTCTACCAACGAAGGACCAGGGTTGACCTCGAAAGACCAGGGTCGACCAACGAGGGACCTGGTTCAACCTCGAAAGACCAGTGTCTACCAACGAGAGGCCAGGGTCAACGTCGAAAAGACTGGAGTCCACCTCGAGGAACTTCTTCAGACTAAGTGCGGTTAACTCCTCTGAATGGAGCACGCTTAAACCGTACAATTTTTTCATCCAACGGTCGCCCCCGTCACTTTTTAGCGCCCCGTCTCTCTGTCCCTAACGGTCGCTCCTCCTTGGTGGGCACCTTTCTCTTTGACCCACCTGTCCTCCGGCCTACCAATTCTTGAAACGCTTCACCACAGCCGCCCTCTGCACTTGATCAACGGTACAGCCGCTTAAACACGCGCATGTCTTCGAATCCTCCATCCCGTAAGTACTCCTTGTTTGTGTGGTCGTTTGATATACGTCGTCTGACTTGACGCATCTCAGCTGTTTCTTCCTCTGGGGTAGACGCAATGGCCGAGGGACCGGTCTTTAATGCTCCTGCTCTTGCCGTTGACCCAGAGGCCCAGGTTCCTCCCAAGCACCGATCGACACTCCTCTCCAGGTGCCTGGGCCAAGGAAGTCTACCGTGGTTCCTTCTGAGGTCGTAGGTGGCGAGGGTCTCCCAGACGTGGATTGCCCTCAGTCGGCCTCTAGCTCCTCTGCTGTGGTGGACCCCGTGGGGACAGTCGCCTATGTCTCGCCCGTTGTTCCGTCGAGTGCTCTTCCGGCTACGATGGGCGGTAGTAGCCAGGCCTCAGGCGCTCGCGATTTGCAAGATCGTCTAGATGCATATAGCCGAAGACTTGAGGCGTGCGAAGGTCGACCTACCACCGTCCTCACCCCCGACGCCTACTGGATCACCCTGTGTGAGCTACTTGAAAGAGAGCTGCAAGACACCCGCCGCCTCGTGGTTCAGTTACGCGAAGATCACCAGCAAGAGAGATCACTGGCGGAGCATTTGCGGTGGCGGATGGACTACCACCAGAGCCGCTACGCTCTCATGATGGCGGAGTTGGATCACGAGGATTTCTTCACGAGTCCCTTACAGGATCTCGCGGCTCCTCCCGTGACTGCTCCCGCAGTACCTCCCACCGCGGTGACGGGTAAGCGACATTTCCCGGCCAAGGCGACCGCTAAGGTCCCCAAGGCCGCCAAGTCAAGTACCCCCAGCACTCCCGCTTCGTCGGCGCCCAAGTCGCCCCCCCAGGCTCTACCTTTGGTACCCTGTCCGGACCCGGATGATGACACTGCAAGTGACGACAGCGAGGTGGTTCGGACGACCTTGGCTCGAACGCGGTCTTCCCGGCGTCGTACCACGCCTACCGACCCGCCGCTCCCAGCTGTCTCCGCTGACTCTGTCTCCCGACTGGTCACTCACCCAAGTCCAGAGTTATTCCGCGCCATATTTGGATCTTCGGACTCCGAGGTCTAGTCGGTCCCGGGAGAGAAGGCTCCAGCCTCAGTCACCAAGGAGGACTCCTCCCCAGGCAGTCACCAAAACTTCCGAAGGGTGACTTCATCCCTGGGTACATCCAAGTAAAGTTATTCACTGCAGTGGAGGTGCAGCTCGTTGGTGTCGTGACGATGACCTCCAGCAACTTGGTCGACCGTCTGGAGCTGCCTTGGGGCTGGTTTGGCCCACCAGATGGGGAGGTTGATCGACCTTCCAAGTGAAAGTCGTCGTTGGTCAACTCCTCGATGCTCCAGAGCCTCTTTGTTGCCCCGACCATGGGTGTCAGCTTGAGTCTCGACCCCCCCCGTATCCTTCCAGCCAGTGGGCTGGTTTGCGGAATTGAAAGCAACCTACCTGCGCTTTGACGAAGACCGCAGCCAAAAGATTTGGGAAGCTACCCACTGCTTATGGATCTCCAAGGATCAAGCGCGCTCCAGCTCCTTCCTCTCGTCGTACTACAACGCACGGAAGAAACGACGGGGTCGTGCGATTCGGGCGTGGCGAGGGGTCGTCGACTTACTCTTCAAGGGGATGAGCGACGGTCGGTGCGACATCGACATCCTGCTCGACCCCTACTTCTGGCACCTTCCTTGACCTCGCTGTGTAGTATACTGGTTCCCAGGGTGCGAGGAAGGGTCAGATCCTGCTGACCTGCTGGACGCCGTGAGGGTCTCCGACTCCACTTACCCATGGGTCTCCCAGTACCTACTTTCGTCCGAGCCTCATCTTGGATGCTCGGCGCCGCGTCTCCGGGACAAGTTCGTCCCTAAACCGTAAGCGTTTTCGTAATATGCTTGCGCTCATATTTATCAGTCTCTGTCTTGAATCTCTGTTTCCCTTATTCCGTCGAACCTTGCGCAAATTTGTTTTCTTCACAACACTCCACGCTAAAGACCAAGGTCTACTAACGAGGGACCGGGGTCTACCTCGAAAAGACCGGGGTCTTCTTTGAAAGACCGAGGTCTACCAAAGAGGGACCGGGGTCTACCCACTATAGACTGTGGTTTACCATCCGGGACCCTCGGTTTCGGCCTCTATTCCTCATGATTTTGCATTGCTTTGAAACGAAGCTCCTTGTCTCCTTGCGTTCGAAATCCCGAAGCAAGGCTCCACAATTCAAATCCACTTTATCCACCCACGAGGGGTCTTCATACCCGTTCCATCAGATGAAGAGCTCTCGTTGCTGTCTACCGTAACGTGCTTTCTTTCCAGTGCGGTCTTTTAAAATCTCCTCGACCTCGTACTCTCCTTCTTCCAGCTCTCTTGCCCAACTGTCTTTTGGTAACAGGCATTCATCGAAGTCGACCGATCTATTTCGTCCGTCTATAACGCGGCACTCATTCGTTCGGGGAACTCTCTAACCCTCTTGAGTTTGGATAGAAGTACCACAGGGAATAGCCTGTACTCCGTACCGCTAGTTTCCTAGCGCGCTGCGTGTTCTCCCATCAACCCTAGAACTCGAAATGGTCCATGCCAGAGGTGGGACATTTCTTGGCGTACCTCTCTTTCACCCGGTCCAGATAGAGCCACACTTGAGTTCCCGGCTGAATCTTGTGGTCGACCACCCCTTCATTATGGGCTAGGATCCGAGCTTGACTGGCCGCTCGTAGGTTCTCATTCACCTGGGCTCTTGCCCGCTGATAGTGCTGCTGAATGTGATATCTCCATCTGCGTGGCCCAGATCCCCTACGTCGCGTATTTACCACAGTTAAGGTAGCCTCGAATGTGGTCCTAGCATCCCAACCATGGTCCAAATAGAACGGCGTCTCCTTCCGGACTCGGTCTTGCGCGGTGTTCATCGCAAACATTAGTCGTTCTGCATACTCGTCCCAATCCTGCTGTCCGACATCAGAGACATACATCTTGATGGACCTAGTCAGGTTCTGAACCATTATTTCCGCGGTCTCATTCGCCTGAGGTCGATAGGCCATGGTCGCCTGTTGACGCTGGCCCACCATGCGACTAAACGCCCGAAAGAAATCCGACATAAATCCTGATCTCGATCGTGGCGGATTGCCTCGCTAGCACCAAAACGGCGAAACACGCATTCTTCGTACCCTTCATCTACCGTCTGGGCCGTTCGCGACGCACTAGCCTTGGCCATCACGTACCCCGTGACAGTTCGATCCAAATTAGTAACTCGGTAATTTCTCTATGTGATCTGGGCAGAGAGGGAATACTATCCATCGCTATGATCTGAAGAGGGTATGTTGCTTCGACATTTCCTGGAGTCTTGCCCTGCAGGGTAGTCCCTCCTTTCTCTGTCTCGCAATCCACACATGTCCCCACATACCTCTGTACGCTTCGGAATAAACCTCTCCAATGGCAGTACCGTCGGATTCGGTGATAGGTACGCCCAACCCCTTGGTGACCTCCTTCCAGACTGGTGTGGTAGTGGTGCAGGACGTCGGCTTGGAGACTTTCGGGTATCACTAGTCTGGCCGTTACCTCTCGGTCGTCTCCCTCGACCCTCTGACCGGGACAATACAATAGTAGGCCCTCTTCACTTATCTCGTAGTCCCTGGCCATCTTACTGCACGAGTGGGCGGTCTCCGTGGGTAGGTCGACCCAATCTCCCTTCAAGTAGGCCTTCAGATCTCGCACCCAGTCCTCTTGCCCCTGGACCTCCCTGATTTGATCCGTCCGGAGTCTTTGTATTACGCCCTCTTGCCGGATTTCCCCTGACATCTTGATGGGAGGTTGAGATCGAGTAATCGCAAGCACCTTGGCCGATCTTTGGTCCGTGGGAACTAGTAACTCTGACAATCGATTAATTCCTTCCAGATTCGGCCATTCCCCTTCCGGTATCGACTTTATACCTTCCTTCTGACGCAGAGCTGTGCTGGCCAAGTGGTCGGCACTCTGATTACAATCACGTTTTACATGCACGATTCCTTGGGTGGGCCATGCCAGCAGCTTATTTAAAGCTCTTGCTTGTAATGGAGACAATCCTGCAGCCTTACACTCGATCTCTCCCCGCATTTGTCGTACCCCTAAGCTGGAATCTCCACAGATAATCAGTCGCCGTCGTTCTAGAGGCTCTAACAGGTCGAAACTCAGCAGCGTACCCTCATACTCGGCCTCATTCACTGTAGAGGTGACAAGAAACTTCGAGGCAGCCTTGACTATGGTACAATCAGGAAATCTCCATGCGATAGCGCTACAGGCTCCATCTCCCTGTTTCACGGGCGGACACATCAAAACTCATGACGTATAACTCTTCGTCAGGCTCCACATTTGGTGTAGGTAGGTCGACCACTTGTCGTGCCTGTTTCTTGGGGGCAATTTACGACAAATTGAGTCCACACTTTCACGAGGAGTAATACTGGCTGCGAGCGCCCCCAAAATTTGGTCCTCGTCTTTCTTACATTTGACAATCTCCATAGTTCATTGGGACAAGAGAGCGGCCCAATTACCAAGCCGTCCCTGTAAACCCGTAGACCCGACTAGCCACTCCAATGTAGAATGCCTCGTCAGGACCTTGAGGGGTCGAGTGACCAACATTGTAAAACAAGTTTCCATTATCCGTAATAAAGCCAGCACTTCTTTATCCACCGTAATGTAGTTCAACTCGTTGGCCTTAAGGGTCCGACTCGTAAAAGTCACCGGCATTAGAATGCCACCATGGTCTTGCACTAACGACGCGAATACGGCCCGTTCACTTGCATAAACGATAATTACTGCCTCCTTGGACGGGTCAAAGTGTCGCAAGATAGGTGCAGTGGCAATCTTATTATTGAGCATAGCAAAGTCTACTTGGGCCCTGAACCATTTCCCCTCGTCTTCTGCCTTAGTCACCCCACTGTCCCCCGCCTTCAACCTACATCGACAATCGTTAAAATCCACTTCTTGTAACTCATAAAGGATCAACGCATACACTGCATAATCTTCAATGAATCTACCATAGTAATTCAGACTTCCCAGAAAAGATTGCATGGCTTTGAGTGTTGTTGGCAACGGTAGGTCGACCAAGGACTGAAGGTCCTTTGGGTGGGCCTCTAGTCTTGATCCGAGACCCGGTGCCCAAGGTAGTCTACCTTCCGGCACTACTATGAGCTCTTGACCGCGCTGATCGATAGATTCCAATCGTCACACACATCAAATAACCGCTCAACCTTTGCGCACAACGTGTTCCACGAGTCGTCGGGTATCAAAGTGTCATCTATATAGGATCGCCGACCCAGTACCGAGGGACCCGACTTTACATCAGGCTCCCCCATCGTAAACAAGTCTTCAGTCTCCTCCGTACCAGCTCCTTGGGGGATACGTAAGAACCCATACAAAGCATTATCCAAGAGTCTCTGATATATCTGAGGCGCGTTCTTGAGTCCAAATGGCATCCGTAGCCATTCTAACAACCCCCCAGTGGGGTGGCAAACGCCGAGATCCTTCTCGACCTTTCGGTCAAGCCGACGACCCAAAAACCACTTGCCATGTCCAGGGAGCAGTACCACGATGCTCCGTTCAGGTCCTCCAACAATTCGTTGATTAGAGGCATGGGGTAGACCATAAGCTGGGTCAAGTCGTTCACCAACCGATAATCAATACAAAGCCTGATATCCACCCCATTTTCTTCACGATAATGATGATTAGGCTGGCCATGGCGATGTAGAAGGCTGGATGATCTTTGCACATAATAGTCCTTGATCAGATCTGCCAACTTTTCTTTGAACTGGGGGGGGCACCTTCCGTACACGTTGTGCAATCGGCCTGGAATTACCCACATCAATGTCACAGATAGCTCCTCGAGCAGCCGGCGGTAAGGCGTTGCCCTTTCCCATGAGTAGATGTCGCCTTCTCCATAAAATTTGTCTCAGTCGGTAGCAGAGGTGGGTCCATGACTCTCCAAAACCCTACCAGGAGTATTGCGCGTTGCGCCTAAGGTCTCCAACCTCCAATCGATCCATGGCTCATGACGTTCTAGCCATGACTAAGATGAGGTCATACCTCCCATCCAGCCATGACCAAACAGCGTTCCATGCTATTAAAGTCCAAGAGCTTTACATTTAAGTCCATCGGGACTTTGGGTACCGTAAAACGCGTACCAGTCGCTAAGCGAACTGTGACTGTGTCACTTTCACGCGCTACAAGTGCTTCAGCATACTGCTGACTACCTTCCACGGTAGCACGGCGCACATAATTGCCAAATGCCCCCGAATCGAGTAAAATGATCCATGGCTTATCATAGCCCTTAATCGTCCCTTCGACGACTAGCAAGCCTGGCTTGCATTCTCGTTTCGTTTTTGAGAGTTCGGATCTCTTTGGGGCTGGACCCTGTTTGCTTCTACCTCCTAGAGATTCAACAGAACTCAGTTCTTCCCCAGTAGGGCGCCCCGCGCCTACTGGGCTCTGCCGTTTCCCCGCGGCAAACCAGAAGGTTTACCCATGGGGCTTCGGCCCTTCGAGGCCAAATATGCCTTTCTTGCAGGGCATTTTGCCATCAAATGGCCTGTTCTCTTGCAGATACAACATCTGCGCACAAGTTGCTGCTCCGCAGCATGAAGCTCGGCTTCTTCATCACCACTTGACTACAGTCCATGGGTACAGACCCATCAGACGAGTAGTTATAAGTGGAAGGCCTAGAGGCCTTCTAGTTGGTTTCGGCATTCCATGCCACTCCAACAGCTTCCTCGAATGAGGACGGGTTTACCCGAATGACTTCCGTTCTGGCAACGCCAACTCGGAGGCCCTCCATAAAGACCGTGACGGTCACTGCCTCAGGCATAGAGTCTATGACCATGACAGCAATGAGAGTTCTCAACTCTTGTACATATGCCGCAAGCTCACGCTTGCCTTGGCGACACGCCAAAAACCGCGACCGATTACGGTGTGCTTGTTTTGGCGGTGCATACTGCCGGTCATCTGAACTTTCAGATCGACCCATGTGGGAAAAGCATCTTGCAATGATGCACCACATGTGAATGCCCACTGTTTGGCTAAGCCACCTAACTTGCCCGTGGCAAAGCCCACACGGTACGGTTCATAGGTGATGACGGCCACAAACACTGCCGGCTCAATCTGTCGGAACCAAAGCATAAGGCTGTCACCTTTTTTGCCGTCGAACTTATCGACTTCCATTTGTATGGGTTTACCTCCTCTGGGGTGTTTTCGTCATAGTCAGGAATCTGTATGTCTTCCAGCTTGATACTCGTAGGTGAAGGGTCAATCTCCGGTATGATATCCCACCCTTGATTTAAATCTTAGGCCTAAAGTTTCCCACTTTCAAACGTGCACACTTGGTCTTCTGCTTGTGGCGACTCTACTAGTGATCCTCGCCTTCTTTCGTCTGCCCTACTTGGTCGACCTGGGGGTCAACCTGGTCGACCTGAGGTTCTTCTTGATCGACTTTCGGCTGGAATGCCATAGTCCTTACTGGAACACGTATCCTTGGCCGTGAAGTATTTTAGATGGAGTACTGTACTGTGGTACCTCCACCAATGGTCCTTCATCCTTCTCCGTCAGGTCTTCGTGATAGTCGACCTGGTCGGTGGTAGATTCATACACCAGGTTTAACCACTCGGCGTATCTTCGAGAACCTATCGACACAAAACCCTGCGCTCTTGGTACTTGGTACTTCATCAGCCATATGCCTATCTTGGTGTCCTCGTGTAATATCAGGGGTTGGGTACTGACATTGGTTACTTTCAGGAGCTTCCGACTTCCTACCCCTTGGCTCACAGTAGTGATCCATCGTTCTCCCCTTGTCACCCACAACTTCTATTGGTGCGAGTTTGACCTTTTTAGATGCACTTCCTCGTACCTCCCGGCCGGTATCTGCACGTATCGGCCTAGTTTCAGGTCTGATACCCGGTTATCGTACAGGGTCTTTCGTCCTGCTACATGGACTCGAACCTCATCGGGCAGACATAGTGTCCCATCCGCCAGATACAGTCGAATACCGGCTGGGACCATGAATTCCATGCCTAAAAAATTGCATCGTGACTCACCATTGGGCCCACTCACACCTTAAAAGTGTATACCAAGTTCCCATTCAGAGTGACCTTGATGCGGGTGCGTCCTTCCGTGGTATACACGGATTCCCCGATACCAACACATTTTTGGCGCTCACTTTCATCAATCTGGCAGCCTACCTTACGAGCAAAGGCGATATTCAAAATAGATACCTCGGCGCCAGTATCAAACAACAAGTTAGCTCGATCGTTGTTAATCGTCCCAGAAGCCTTGGCCTGTCCAAACCATTTCGTAGGACCCCCTCAACTCACTCGGAAATAGGTCCAGCTCCATCACTGCACTTTCTCGAACGAAACTGTTAGATGCACTGAAAGAAGCAACATGGACCCTAGGGTAACTTTCAAACTTCGATATATTTCCCATCAAGTTATCCTGAATGTCCCTTCCTCCGTAGGGTTGCTTTTCCACATATGCAAAAATGCAACAACTAGAACGCTCGGCTCGTACCAGATTCAAACTTGGAGAGCGTCCTAACTTAGCATCTGCTCGACCTTCTCCGGGAACATCCCTGCTTGGTCGGGTTGTACCACTGACGGACCAAGTTATAAAACTCTTCCATCGGGCACTTCCCAACCTCGTGGGTTTCTCCACAGCCTCGACATACTAATAGGCAAAGATCTGATGGATGGCCCTTCTTGCCACAGCGATCGCAGGTCAGCCTCTTCCAACAACCCAAGTCTCCATACTTCCTGGAACCACAATGGGCGCATCTTGCACTTGGGGTTGCCGACGCTGTGCGAGGTCCATGGTCCTTGGTCGAGGGTCGGGGCTGATCGACCTCTCTGATGGGTCGGTCCCTCGGGGTCCTTGGCCGTAGGTCCTTCTCCGTCGCCGTAGACATGAGGTAGAACTCCGTAGGTCACCGTCACTATCAGAGCCGTCCAAACTGGAGTCTTTGGAGCTTGATCCTTCTTGGGTCGCTCAAACTGCATTGACAGAGCGACAATTCAACTCCCTTGGCCGGTCAGGGTAATTGGTGCTTTCTGGCGAAGCTTGCCTGACCCAAACAATATCTTGCCTCGTCGAGCCTTCGTCTGTTGACGCGCCCTCAGTACATACTCCAACTCTTCCACATCAGCCAAATGTAACACGGTCAACTGGTACGCCAAGTCGGGGTCGTCCAAGGTCTCGATATAGTGTTCGACATGTTCCTTTTGAATCTTGGGCGGCCCATCCTTGATATTGATTTCTCTTGAAGTCCAATGACATTCAGACGGTACAGGTAGTCCATCGGGGTTTCATCCGACCTGTTCTTTGCGTGGCAATATTGGCGGACCACTGGCACCTCCAAACCACCGAACTGCATCTGGAATTTCTGTAACAAATTCTTCAGTTTTCACGAACAGAGCGACCTAGCTGACGATACCAGTTCTGGACCGGTCCAGTCAATAATTCCCCAAAAACGAGACACTTCTCCCCATCTGGCGCTTGGTCCCTCGTGAACGCGGTCTTCACAGTGGTCACCCACCTGCGTGCTCGGTCCTCATCTTGGTCTTTACCATGAAACTCCTTAAGATCCGAGGTCGCTGAGAGCTTGATACGAGAGACCATGTTGGGCACCTGTCCCAGGGTGGCATTGGCATGCCAATGGTCCATCGAGGTCCATGTATAGTCTGGGTCAAATTCACGCAAACCTACCGATTCCATCTCCACTTTGGTCATCCCTTGGTCTCTTGTACCTTGCATACCTGCACTTGGACCCAGCTGGGCCGTTGACCTCTGCGCCCTCTGTCAACCTCTGGCCGCATTTCCATCGATGTATGCTTGCGGTACTTGGCGTTCTTTGGAAGAATTTCGCCATCTCCACATCGAAGTATTCCTGTAAATTACCTACTCCTCCCCGGTCTGCTTCGTCACGTGACGAGGTATAGTTCGGTACTAGTCCCGGCTCATTTCTTATTGGTTGAAAATTTGACCGATCAGAAGCCCGACTTCCCTTGGCTGTACACACGTGGCCGTTTCGTGAGCGTGCTGCTCGTCGTCCGCGCACTTCGCTCGGGCCTGCAGCAGCGACATGCCGGTCGGTCTTAGTGACATTTTGTCCACGTGATTAGCGACGGGCTACACTCGCGCTTATTGCTTTGCAGGGACCTGAGGACCCTGAGGCAAGGTGGTCTGTGATAGACCTCGTATAGACCATGGGTGCTTAGTCGACCATTGCTCTCGAGGTGGACCTCGATGTCTTGTAGGGTCATCTGGCTGTAGTCAGACGGTACTTTTGCAGTGGTAGCAGGTGGTGAGTCGAGTAGTACTGGGGTTTTTCCCACCAGGATACCCAGACGTTTGTGTAGGGTTTATAACGTGGTCTTGATATTGTTGAACCCTAGGGAAAACAAGTCTTCAGGCTCGAACCTTCCTGCAACCATACCCACCTCGCGAAGAAGGGTCACGAGCGCGGTGATCGCATCTGTTACCGTCCTCAGCTTGGAAAGGGTCGACACAAGTCCACTGAGCTGGCCCAGCAGTCGGATCTCAAAAATTTTGGTGACGAGGTTGCTCTCCAAAAACGCGTCAAGCTTGAGTCAGTGGTAAGCCATGGTCACGTCCGCATCCGACCAGGACAAGTGTCGTGAGGCCGACGGGCCTACCGATTTGTGTTATCTGGTGCAGCCAAGGGAAGTCGGGCTTCTGATCGGTCAAATTTCCAACCAATAAGAAATGAGCCGGGACTAGTACCGAACTATACCTCGTCACGTGACGAAGCAGACCGGGGAGGAGTAGGTAATTTACAGGAATACTTCGATGTGGAGATGGCGAAATTCTTCCAAAGAACGCCAAGTACCGCAAGCATACATCGATGGAAATGCGGCCAGAGGTTGACAGAGGGCGCAGAGGTCAACGGCCCAGCTGGGTCCAAGCGCAGGTATGCAAGGTACAAGAGACCAAGGGATGGCCAAAGTGGAGATGGAATCGGTAGGTTTGCGTGAATTTGACCCAGACTATACATGGACCTCGATGGACCATTGGAATGGCCAATGCCACCCTGGGACAGGTGCCCAACATGGTCTCTCGCATCAAGCTCTCAGCGACCTCGGATCTTAAGGAGTTTCATGGTAAAGACCAAGATGAGGACCGAGCACGCAGGTGGGTGACCACTGTGAAGACCGCGTTCACGAGGGACCAAGCGCCAGATGGGGAGAAGTGTCTCGTTTTTGGGGAATTATTGACTGGACCGGTCCAGAACTGGTATCGTCAGCTAGGTCGCTCTGTTCGTGAAAACTGAAGAATTTGTTACAGAAATTCCAGATGCAGTTCGGTGGTTTGGAGGTGCCAGTGGTCCGCCAATATTGCCACGCAAAGAACAGGTCGGATGAAACCCCGATGGACTACCTGTACCGTCTGAATGTCATTGGACTTCAAGAGAAATCAATATCAAGGATGGGCCGCCCAAGATTCAAAAGGAACATGTCGAACACTATATCGAGACCTTGGACGACCCCGACTTGGCGTACCAGTTGACCGTGTTACATTTGGCTGATGTGGAAGAGTTGGAGTATGTACTGAGGGCGCGTCAACAGACGAAGGCTCGACGAGGCAAGATGTTGTTTGGGTCAGGCAAGCTTCGCCAGAAAGCACCAATTATCCTAACCGGCCAAGGGAGTTGAATTGTCGCTCTGTCAATGCAGTTTGAGCGACCCAAGAAGGATCAAGCTCCAAAGACTCCAGTTTGGACGGCTCTGATAGTGACGGTGACCTACGGAGTTCTACCTCATGTCTACGGAGACGGAGAAGGACCTAGGGCCAAGGACCCCGAGGGACCGACCCATCAGAGAGGTCGATCAGCCCCGATCCTCGACCAAGGACCATGGACCTCGCACAGCTTCGGCAACCCCAAGTGCAAGATGCGCCCATTGTGGTTCCAGGAAGTATGGAGACTTGGGTTGTTGGAAGAGGCTGACCTGCGATCGCTGTGGCAAGAAGGGCCATCCATTAGATCTTTGCCTATTAGTATGTCGAGGCTGTGGAGAAACCCACGAGGTCGGGAAGTGCCCGATGGAAGAGTTTTATAACTTGGTCCGTCAGTGGTACAACCCGACCAAGCAGGGATGTTCCCGGAGAAGGTCGAGCAGATGCTAAGTTAGGACGCTCGCCAAGTTTGAATCTGGTACGAGCCGAGCGTTCTAGTTGTTGCATTTTTGCATATGTGGAAAAGCAACCCTACGGAGGAAGGGACATTCAGGATAACTTGATGGGAAATATATCGAAGTTTGAAAGTTACCCTAGGGTCCATGTTGCTTCTTTCAGTGCATCTAAAAGTTTCGTTCGAGAAAGTGCAGTGATGGAGCTGGACCTATTTCCGAGTGAGTTGAGGGGGTATTAGAATATCAGCTCCTACGAAATGGTTTGGACAGGCCAAGGCTTCTGGGACGATTAACAACGATCGAGCTAACTTGTTGTTTGATACTGGCGCCGAGGTATCTATTTTGAATATCGCCTTTGCTCGTAAGGTAGGCTGCCAGATTGATGAAAGTGAGCGCCAAAAATGTGTTGGTATCGGGGAATCCGTGTATACCACGGAAGGACGCACCCGCATCAAGGTCACTCTGAATGGGAACTTGGTATACACTTTTAAGGTGTGAGTGGGCCCAATGGTGAGTCAAGATGCAATTTTTTAGGCATGGAATTCATGGTCCCAGCCGGTATTCGACTGTATCTGGCGGATGGGACACTATGTCTGCCCGATGAGGTTCGAGTCCATGTAGCAGGACGAAAGACCCTGTACGATAACCGGGTATCAGACCTGAAACTAGGCCGATACGTGCAGATACCGGCCGGGAGGTACGAGGAAGTGCATCTAAAAAGGTCAAACTCGCACCAATAGAAGTTGTGGGTGACAAGGGGAGAACGATGGATCACTACTGTGAGCCAAGGGGTAGGAAGTCGGAAGCTCCTGAAAATAACCAATGTCAGTACCCAACCCCTGATATTACACGAGGACACCAAGATAGGCATATGGCTGATGAAGTACCAAGTACCAAGAGCGCAGGGTTTTGTGTCGATAGGCTCTCGAAGATACGCCGAGTGGTTAAACCTGGTGTATGAATCTACCACCGACCAGGTCGACTATCACGAAGACCTGACGGAGAAGGATGAAGGACCATTGGTGGAGGTACCACAGTACAGTACTCCATCTAAAATACTTCACGGCCAAGGATACGTGTTCCAGTAAGGACTATGGCATTCCAGCCGAAAGTCGATCAAGAAGAACCTCAGGTCGACCAGGTTGACCCCCAGGTCGACCAAGTAGGGCAGACGAAAGAAGGCGAGGATCACTAGTAGAGTCGCCACAAGCAGAAGACCAAGTGTGCACGTTTGAAAGTGGGAAACTTTAGGCCTAAGATTTAAATCAAGGGTGGGATATCATACCGGAGATTGACCCTTCACCTACGAGTATCAAGCTGGAAGACATACAGATTTCTGACTATGACGAAAACACCCCAGAGGAGGTAAACCCATACAAATGGAAGTCGATAAGTTCGACGGCAAAAAAGGTGACAGCCTTATGCTTTGGTTCCGACAGATTGAGCCGGCTGTGTTTATGGCCGTCATCACCTATGAACCGTACCGTGTGGGCTTTGCCACGGGCAAGTTAGGTGGCTTAGCCAAACAGTGGGCATTCACATGTGGTGCATCATTGCAAGATGCTTTTCCCACATGGGTCGATCTGAAAGTTCAGATGACCGGCAGTATGCACCGCCAAAACAAGCACACCGTAATCGGTCGCGGTTTTTGGCGTGTCGCCAAGGCAAGCGTGAGCTTGCGGCATATGTACAAGAGTTGAGAACTCTCATTGCTGTCATGGTCATAGACTCTATGCCTGAGGCAGTGACCGTCACGGTCTTTATGGAGGGCCTCCGAGTTGGCGTTGCCAGAACGGAAGTCATTCGGGTAAACCCGTCCTCATTCGAGGAAGCTGTTGGAGTGGCATGGAATGCCGAAACCAACTAGAAGGCCTCTAGGCCTTCCACTTATAACTACTCGTCTGATGGGTCTGTACCCATGGACTGTAGTCAAGTGATGATGAAGAAGCCGAGCTTCATGCTGCGGAGCAGCAACTTGTGCGCAGATGTTGTATCTGCAAGAGAACAGGCCATTTGATTGCAAAATGCCCTGCAAGAAAGGCATATTTGGCCTCGAAGGGCCGAAGCCCCATGGGTAAACCTTTGGTTTGCCGCGGGGAAACGGCAGAGCCCAGTAGGCGTGGGGCGCCCTACTGGGGAAGAACTGAGTTCTTTTGAATCTCTAGGAGGTAGAAGCAAACAGGGCCCAGCCCCAAAGAGATCCGAACTCTCAAAAACGAAACGAGAATGCAAGCCAGGCTTGCTAGTCGTCGAAGGGACGATTAAGGGCTATGATAAGCCATGGATCATTTTACTCGATTCGGGGGCATCTGGCAATTATGTGTGCCGTGCTACCGTGGAAGGTAGGCAGCAGTATGCTGAAGCACTTGTAGCGCGTGAAAGTGACACAGTCACAGTTCGCTTAGCGACTGGTACGCGTTTTACGGTACCCAAAGTCCCGATGGACTTAAATGTAAAGCTCTTGGACTTTAATAGCATGGAACGCTGTTTGGTCATGGCTGGATGGGAGGTATGACCTCATCTTAGTCATGGCTAGAACGTCATGAGCCATGGATCGATTGGAGGTTGGAGACCTTAGGC